ATTTCTTATTTTCCAATCAGTAAGATAATTTTCATAGGATATGTCTTATCTAGATTGTGTTATTTTTTTAAATAAAAACTTGTCTATTCCGGTTTACTAGTGAGGTAAAATTATTTTGACTGTGTAAATTAATACTATTATTATTATTAGAATTATAACTACTATGACTAGTTTTATTGTTTTGAAAGTAATCACACTTTGAAAACTATCTTTACTTGGTGATTGTCATATTTACTAAATTTTTTTTTCAGTTTTAGGGATTTCCTGTCTCAATTAAGATTGTTTCTGATTTTGCAGTTCTTATGATAAAGAAATATTTTTGTTAATCAGATGTTATAGTTAGTGGCTTACAGTGAGAAACCATAGTGATGAATTTTTGTGTTTGTGTGTGTGTGTGTGGATAGAAAATAACAACAAAAATAACAACAACAGTGTCCTATCTGATGTAACAAGTAACTTTTTTCAGTTGTATCTGAATTATAAACAATATGTAAGTAATATGGCGCTCTTATTTAATTCATGTCTAAACTATTCTTTTCTACATCAAAGGATTGGCGACAGTGGTGTTGGATGAATAAGATGTAATTGTAACGAAAATAGACTAAACCAGGTTTCAAACTCAATATATTTGCAAATAACTAAATCAGCTTAAGGAATGAGTGAGTGCATTGTCATTCTGTATGATTCATAAACTTTTAACAGTATAGTAATCATTCCGTCTTGTTAGTTAACAATTGAAAATTATTGCCTGTTATGCATGCAACAGATAACTGTGGAAATTACCGTAACATTGGGTTAGATGTAATAGCTGAAAACAATGTTGTTATCTGACAAATAAAAATTATTTCTGATGACTTTTTTATGTATTGTAACAGTTCATCACAAAGTACTTGAGTTTAAATTATCTATTAATTAAAAAAAACAAAACAATAATGAATAAAACTTACGTCAGTTATTCACAATATAGTATTTACTATCATGCTTGTCTAGTTTTTGATGGTGATGTAATTGTTTTCAGAAAGATTTCATATAGCCTTGATGACTCTACATAGTTTATAGCTTGTTTAAGTGTTAGTTGGTTGGAAGTTAACGGAAAAAAACTTTGGTGTTGTGTTTCCTGCTACCTGGTACTCCTCAACGAAGTGATCCTGTAATCTTGAAGAAATTGGTGTTCCTCAAGGGATTCGAACCAGCATCGCTTAGTTCCACGTTCTGAGCCAAACACAACACTGATCACTATAGGGTGATAAGAGATTAGTTATAAGAGACCAGTAGTAGTGTGAATGACATTCAATCCCTAGAGGAATATTACTTCTTTTCGAAGTGAAGGTGAGCTATCCTGAAGAGTGCCATCTGGCATGAAACCTATTTCTAAAGTTTCTTCCCGACTCCTTTCAGCTACCTAATTCCCGATAAAATTCAATAAAAGCCAGTTGGTTCAAATACTTATTAGTAAACTTCATAGTTTACTGAAATTCTTATTCCACTGAAGCCAAGTATTATATATAAATGGTGTCTATGAGACTGGTCGGCGGCCTATGCTCCATTGGGGGTAACAGGCGAAAGTAAGTAAGTAAGTCTGAGAGAATTATTTACATTAATCAGTCATGGAGTAATAACAAGCACCATTTTGTTGAATAACATGCGTTCACATAGATCTCTGTTAATTTCAATTTCAAGTGATATGTATACTGGGACAGGTAAGGTGTACTTAGTCTAGGTATTTAGGTAATTAACAGTATGTAAATACATGTTACCCCCTCAGATATTCGAAAATGCACTCCCCAATACCTCACACAGCAATATAATCACCTGAATGTTTTGGGTATCATTTCATCAACAAATAAAATAATTCATGGAATTATGAAACATAAAAGAAACATAAAAGGTTTTTTCTTTTCTCAATGAACTCTTAGAATTAATAATAGTAAGTTCACCAAAAATGCATGAATAAATATTGACTTTAAAAACAATCAAGTTTTACATCGCTCACATCTTACTAGTTTATCTAAACGTCAACTCAACAAATCCTATATTAAATAATCTATGACAATAGACTGTAAATTAAGCTAAGACAAAAAAACCAACTCGATGAATTGATAAGAATGCTATGAAAAGAATATTTGATGATTAGTAAAATGAATGTTATCCAGGGTATGTGGATTAATTTATTCGAAGGTTAACGCATTAATATCTGCCACAAACAGATAACAGTGATAAGTTGATAAGCATAAGTTGACAAATCAAAAATTGAAATCTAGTGCAAAAAAAGTAGTCCTTAAACAAAATACGACATTCAATGCAGTGGTTAGTGTTTGTTTCTTTTCACATTATTGGAGACGTTAGATCCCTAGAACTCACTCGATAAAGGTCCTCATTATGGATCTTTTGTTTTCGCACATTGGATGATCAGTTGACTTCGAGACTACATTTCCCATTCGGGAAATCCTTGTTTGTCATTGGTTGATGTATTATTTTAGTACTCTATTCTTGTAGCTCACCCAAGGACGTTTCTATCATGTAAAGTAAACTCGATTTGTCAGCTTGTCAACCTCGTGTTTCTGAATGCTTGTAGAATACACTTTCTACGCCTTATCAAGACTTCCTGATATAGTTAACAGGGCCGGGGACAATCAGGATAGCCTATCGTGTCACTGTATCATTGCTTCGCTCTCGTTTACCGATTAAGGTGAACTCGTAATATATTTCAAGCATATCAGTCGACGAGCATTTCATAAACAAAGGTTTAATTTTGTCGACATAGTTACTATAGCTTCAGTAAATGCAAAATAACTTAAGTTGCACTGTTTATGAATGATTACCAATTATTGAATATGTAACCAAGGTTTTTTGATATTTTCATATTTTCATTTTGGATAATTTTTTCCATCTGCTGACTAATAAGGTGTTTTTATTCATTAACTTAAGTGTCTCCGAATTGAAATAAACAACTTTACACCTTAGTTTTGTAATAGGTGTTTAGTTGACGCCAGTTTATCATGAAAATGATCTACAAACACGCTCTCACGCTCTCTCATCGAGAGACAAAATTGTTAGTCAATCAATAATATATTCTGTATTAACGACTTATAGTTCATGAGTTTATATATTATTGATTGATATCAATGAAACTGTTAGAGACATTTAACCTTGAAATAGTGAAATGGAATATTCTGTGATGCTTTGGGACCAAAACCTCTAAATCGATGATTGAGATTTTTAACACCTAAACAATTGACTAATAATAAATTCCTGATATTATTGTAAGGAAAGATAATTTGTATCTAGTGTCACCATTTTAACAAAGATTAATCTCACTTATATGCATCAAAATAACACCTTCCACATTCTATTCTAACTATGGAACCAGTTTTTGCTTCGTTGTATTTGCATTATAAGGTTGTGGAGATTGTTTAGCTACGTCTTGAAATCATAAAATCGATCAATCTCAGACCATCGTAAGAAACCTGGGACCACCGGATGGTTGTTATAGTTGTATTGTCATTGATCATCATACAGACGATATATCAATTAGTACCGTATGGGTAATAAAAATTTTTAGAAGGGCTACTATACCTTCAAGTTGAAATATGATTTCAGTTGGTTATGATCGTCTTTAACCTGGGTAAAATCTTGCGTCAAATAGTAAACATCCCAGGAACTAAAAGGTAACACGAAATTGAAAATATTTAGTTTTGAGATGTGAAGTTTACTTTTACAAGATGCCTGATCTTATCAAATAAAAACTCTAAAAATATTTCTTCAAATTTTCCAAGTTACTTTTGAGCATATTCAAAACCTTTTTTATATGATAATCGATTTACGTTTTCTTGTGGTTTGCCAGTTTAATTCAAGTTCAACTTGAGATTTCAGGAGAGTGTAAACATTTTTCAGAAATATTAACTGTCAACTGAGTGTCTGTGATATTTCACACTCAGTTAATTCATTCAAAAAAGTTGGTCCTCCTCGATGTAATAGTGAGTAAAGCTATCATAGTAATGACATTTTATGTTCAACATGAACTAGAGAGTTTATTCAAGCTCACTTTCTTCTAACGCTTTTAAATACTGTGTAAGATTTTCATTTTATGTTGTGTGAATTCAAAAGTTTCAACTATCATGATTTATGCGAAATCAGACTGGCAAATTTTGATCAAAATCTATAAATTATGCTAGAGAAAATCTGTCTAACTTAAAACTCTCACCTTTTCAATTCTTCTATCCCAATACTTAGTATCTTATGAAATGTATACTCTACTTTGTGTATTTATAAGTAGTCTAGCAATCTGTGTATGCATGCATAGATTCCTTCTTTTTTTTTAAAAAAAAAAATGAAAGAAGTAGTAAACTCAATAATTATGTGGTCATGACAACCTGTCTCTCATTCTATTCTAATCAAAATATTATTGGTCATTAATTTTAGGGTTAGGAGTAATGGTATATTGTTTACAAGGATATATATAATTTACCCGCCCATCCTTTCTCAATATTTCAATATTTTCAATAAAATAACAGAAAGTGAAGAAAAGTATATTGATGTTTTCAAGGAAAGTAGAAGAGATTTACATAATGTTGAACAAAGAATGATGTATATTATGTATACATAAACTTTATTTTAATTAATGTTTAATTTCTATACACAATCAGTTTCTTAAACCTATCACTAGTTATTCTTGAACAATACAATGATGATATGTAGTAGTACATTGAAATTATAAGAGAAACTGTTTAAAGTTTAATTTTCATAAAAATAAAAATAATCATTATTATTATTATTAAATGGGACAAGTTAACAATAGTATTTGAAACAAAAGGATTTTATGTTAATAAATCTTCCTAAAAACATAATTATTCTACTATATATAAAATAACATTTTAATCAAAACATTTCAAAATGGAAAGCTATCAAAAAAATTTTTTTCTCAAGAAACAATAATGTTCATATAAAAAAACATATGTAGTCCATTACACAAACTATAAACTATCATATTTGTATAAAATATGCAAGAAGACGATCCGACAAAAACTACTCTCACAACTATTCCTGATGGTAAGTTGATATTGATTTTTAATTTTTATTTCATTGAATGGTATGGTTTAAATGGTTGCAGCATATAATGAATTGATTAATGTTGACTTCCCGCCGATCCCTAAAAATCGATAACTCGATTGGGGTTAAATCCTTTTTTCCTTGAAAGGGGGAACATTCATTCAGGATTTGCTAGTATTTTTCTTTGTAAATAATAAGTCACTAGTTAACATCGGTTCTATTATAAATTGTGTCGTTTATTAAATGAAACACATTGATTTGTTGTTTATTTCTGTCTATAGATGCAGAATCTAACATCAATACCGATAATTGTGAACATGTTGTACAGAATGATGAGAAGAAATCAGATAATAACCCTAATGATGGAATAAAATTAATCACAGTTCAACCTGTCCCCATTAATAAACATGTACAACAGAAGTAAGCGAATATTTTAAAAAATGTCATATATTTATTCTTCTTTTCATCAAGTTTACTGGACTAACATTGTTTAAATACAAAATTTTCATCAGTGACCACTAAATCAAATTTTTTTAGTCCGTAAAATGCAACACGACTGAAAATGATCACCATTATTAACAGATTTGTTAGTTGGCTATCTTCATAGCATATATAATGCACGAAAATCCTTTTTTTATCAGTATTTACAGTGCAAAGTATGATTACAACTGGACGATTGTAGTTCTGTCTTCCAACTTGATCGCGCTTAGCATATTATACAGCTGATGTGTTTTCTCGAAATGTAAAGAAAATGAATCTATTTTTGTCAGTTCACTATCAGTTTAATGTCACCAAAAATTTTAATTATTTATCAATAATTACGTGGTTCACCTTTCGACTAGTGATTTTCATATTCCATTCCTAGTTTCATCATCATAGTTAGATGAACTAGATGGGTTTTTAAATTCACTTAAAACAGCTTGATTTCAAGCACTGGTATTCTACAGAGAAACATAAATGAGGTTTACACTATCATGAAAAACATTTTCTTCCATTCATTTAATAGTTTTTTTAAATAATGTAACATTGACTTGACTTGCGCCATTACCCTCCATCCACTGATCATTCGTGTTTTGCATACTACTTCGTACTGTGGTCAATATTCCTATATCTTACAAAGCAATTTGAGATACTTGTAGTGAGTTATGTATATATATATATATCACTAACTGTCTCTACAAACTCATAGTATAATCCGTTAAATTTTATTTTGAGCTTAAAAAATGTGTATTAGTAAATAAATAAAAATTTTGATTATCATTCTGTGCAATTTACTTTATTTAGGATAGTGAATTGTCTGTTCAGTAGTACACATTTGAGAGTGAACAATAACATAAAATGAAAACACAGAGAGATAATATAGTAAAACATATCCAGAATATATCGTGTTTAAATGATAAACTAACTGGTTAATTTCATCACAAAAGCCTTTTTTTAGTCAGTTGGTTTAGAGAAAGAGTTTTGTGTAAGCAGAAATCTAACTGAATTGACATTAGTAGAAATTATGCGGGTACTGTGAAAATGTGTAATGAAACTCGAGGCTAGTAATAGTAGTAGTAATGGTATATACATAATTATAATAATAATTAAACAAATCTTGCTGTAAGAATAGAAAAAACCGTACATTTCTACCACGATCATCAAATAATCTACGCGGTTTTTCATGGTATTATCTCAGCAAAACACTGATAATAACATTGAAGTAATTGTAACACATTACGTTATTTTGTCAACTACATACTAGTTCATTAGTTCAATATATCAACATATTTAAAAAAAAAAGAATTAAGGAATATACTATCTATGAGCAAATAGTATGTATAGCATAAAATGTAAATCAGAAATGAAATTCACATTAACGTTTCAATTTAATTTATATAACTTAATTCAAACGATAGTTCTCGAATATTGAAAAAGATAATCTCATTAGATATTATGACGAAGAGGTTTTGTAATGAATTAGCAAGTGTTATTTTTTACATGAGTTCACTAAAATCTATTCATCATTCAATGTAAAATGAAAATGAAGTTAAGCACTAACGAGTCTTGAATAAAAAAAGTCAAAGTTAAGTTTTCAGTATTGTGTAATTATCTTTAAAATCATTCATTTAAGTTGTATAAAAATGTTCGTTGAAAAGTTAGTACAATTATAACTTGTACAATTTATCATTTAGTATTTAAGTTTGTTACTGTCTTTAATAAATATTAAAATTAACTTGATTAATTGATTGCTTTACGGTTTCGGAGACAGAAATAAGAGTGAACAAATTTTTGTATTCTGTGTAAACCAAAATGGTTTGAATTTAGTATAACTTTTTGACGAAAAACCATTTGTATGTGCAAATCGAAATTATCAACCAATCAGTGTCAGACCATCATTAGAAACCGTAAAGTATCGGACGGCCGTTTCGTCCTGGTATGGGACTCATCAGCAATGCACATCCACGACTCGTAATACTAATGGTATTCAAACACAGGACTTTCGGTCTTGCTCGCGAACGCCTAACTTCTGGACTACTGGGCTGGCATACAACGATGTTCATGTCTAACTCTGATCAATCTGCCGATCATTTGTATGTGAACTGAAAAATTCATGGTTAATGATTATTAGAAGGTTATAAGTAAAGTGAATAACTTGAAGAATGATTCCCTACTGTTTCGAGATATAGACATTGAATGTAGATAATACAAGTGAAATACTATGTGTTAGAAATGATTACAAGAACTTAAGTAAAATGAATTTCTGACATTCTTCAACTACTGACCGTTTGTAATGTTACATTGTAGTTACTTCATGTAATGTAATGTACATTATTAATTACACATTTTTAAACCATGAAGCGATCAATGTTACTCCACTATTAGGAGCCTGGAAGCACTGGACGGCCATTTTGTCCTGGTACGGGAACCATCAGCAATGCGCATCCACCACTCCTGCAGCTCGCGGGACTCGAACCCAGAACCCAGAACGCCTGACCTCTGCACCACTGAGCCGGTATCTAGTTGTGCACAAAATGTTCGGATCAAAATAATATGAGCAAATAGTTTTTTTTAACGAATCAATGATTTATCCACTTCAAGAACATTTTTATTTATGGAATATGTGATTTGTTTACTGAATTTCGTTTTTATCCTCTATGCTATTCATTCACAATTTTATGATAAACTCATATGCATATAAGTTTACGAATAGGATTGTCTATCAGTAGACAGTGAACAGTTATCAAAAGTGGAGTTCGTAAATGACTTAACAAAAAAATTGAAGGGTATATATGGAATTATTGTTTACTAATTCATACAGATTAGACTATCTGAATCAGTACTATACAACAGAAACAAGTGTAATGTTAGTTTCATTAGAGAGGGAATTTGTACTTTTATTTGTGGAACAATGTAATTTATACAGAATAGTTTTTCTCTAAATAAATGGTTCACTTTCGTTGCGAAATTTATATTCAATCTTTATTTATTTATTTGTTTGTGTTTACCTGTGTAGAAAGTATGATGATTTATTGTTTAAAAAATATGAGAAAATATGTAAGATTGGTGAAGGAGCTTATGGTGTAGTATTCAAATGTCGTGATATTAAATCAGGCCAACTAGTAGCAATAAAACAGTTCACAGCTTCTGAAGATGATCCAGTTATTCGTAAAATTGCAATGAGAGAAATTCGAATGCTTAAAGTAAGTTATCAATATTTTTTGTACATGATATCGAGCATTACAGCTGCGTACTTTTAAAAGAGGTGTAATTAACTAAGCGGTGACATTATTGTTTAAGGCAAGAGATAATATACTTTTAAATCCGATGAAGAAAATTGATTCTTTCATTATCACAATTAAAACTTGCTTATAACGAGTTTAAAATGATTACTTGCATACTTATGCCTGTTACCCCTAGTAAGGTATAGGTTACCGACCAGTATAATCCAACCTACACTGTCTTGGGCCTTTCTTTCTAATTCTATCCGATTGTTCTTCATTCTTCTCATATCTGTCTCCATTTCTCGGCGTAATGTGTTCTTTGGTCATCTTTTCCTTTGGCTTTGAGGGTTCCAAATGAGGGCTTTTCTTGTGATGCAGTTGGGTGCTTTACTTATCCACTTCCAGCGCTCCTTCCTGATTCCTTTCTCCACTGAAACCTGGTTTATTCTCTCCCACATTAGGTTGTTGCTGATGTTTTCTAGTCAACAGATCTGAATTAACTTGTGTAGACGACCGTTAATAAACACCTGTATCTTCTGGGTATGGTCTTTCATGGTGGTTCTCCAAGTTTCTGCCTCATACAGCAGGAATGTATTGACATTTGTATTGAAATTTGTGGCTTTGGCGCTGGTTGATAGTTGTTTTGAGCTCCATATTTTCTCCGATTATAGAAAAGATTCCATTACTTTCCTTATCCGCATCAGATCCATCTTGTTCATCAATGATGCTGCCCAGATATGTAAAGCTTTTTATATCTTCCAAAGCTTCACCGTCAAGTGTGATTTGGTTAGTTTATGTTGTGTTGTATAAGAGAATCTTGCTTTTCCTACTGCTGCAGAGGTTAATGCTTCAGTGGTAGTCTTCTCTTGCACTTGTTATGTTTTGGAAAGAAGGGTTAGATAATTTGCGAAGTTTAAGTCGTCCAGCTGCATCCTAGTTGTCCACTGTATCCCGTGCTTCCCTTCAGATGCTAACGTCTTTATAATCTACATGACACCGAGAGCAACATTGTTTGACAGTGGTCTTCACTTGGAACGAGTCTATGATCTGTCCTCCATTCACAGTCTTGCAGTTTATTCAATCAGCATAATGCTGACTGTCTTCTTACCCAAACCGTCATCTTAAGGAAAGATCCATAGTATCATCTTTTCTATACTGTCAAGTACGTTCTCATAGTCAAAGAAGTTGACGTAATTTCCTGAGTTCCATCCAGCTGATTTGTTCAGCAATGATCCATAGTGTCGCGATTGGGTCGGTAGATAATCAATCCTTATGGAATCCGACCTACTGATCTCGAAGTTGGTTGTCTATTGAATCTTTAATTGGTTCAACAATTCTCTGTTGAAGACTTTCCCTGATACTATCAGTAGAGTAATGCCTCTGTAGTTCTCGCACTTGTTAAGATCTCCCTTCCTTTGTATCTTGATGAGGTGTCCTTCTTTACAGCCTGCTGGCACTTCGTCTTGTTCCCAAATCCTGCCTAGCATAACGTGCAAACTATTTGTAGTTACTGCTATGCCTGCTTTCAGTACTTCAGCTGGAATGTTGTCTGGTTATGTTGCTTTACCGCCCTTTATTTATCTGATGGCTGTGCTGACCTGTTCAATTGCTGATGAGTCAACATCAGTTGAGAGGTCCGTGGATGTTTCCTTAATGTTGGGTGAGTTAAGTGGGGATAAGGGACCGGCAGTAACCTCAAAACTGATCCAGGTGGAGTTAGTTTCTCTACTAATTCAAGACATCCATTCGGTCACGTACGTCCATATAATAAACTTCTTTCACTAAATAATCATTGTAATTTGTTATGAACAACAATTGAGTAATCAGTTCACTTTCATCTTAAAATCTATGAAGCATATCTTTTTCTAGAACTCATTTTTAACTCTTTAACTTCAGCTATAAGCTATTTATTACAAAATAAAGATGTAACTCAAGTTTCCAAAAGTGAGAAGCATTACTTCTGCTAGATTTACCAAAATAAAATCCAATGAAGTTTATTTATATAACTTTTAATTAAAGTATCAGTTAATCATGGATGACCAGAACAATTGTTCGAAACCGAAATCTCTCCTAACACAAAAATATTTAAAGGGATACCAATTTATTGTTATATACATTTGTATGATAAAATGTGAGATAGAAAATGTTTATGGAATAAGTTTAAGAACAGTGCATTCGGTATACCCACCAAATCGATAACAACTACGCTTTCATTCTCTTTTTTTAATAAACTTTTAAAGCTTATCATCTCAATAATTATAGTCGATGCAGCTCTAGTTTCCATTTACTATGCTTTTTTATTCAAAGTACTTCCATACGATGAATACTGATTTGTAAGCTATGAAATCAGTCATTGTGAACAAAGACTAAGTACTAAATTTTTTGAAAATATGAAGGAGTTTTCAACTCTAGATAAGGATTTCAGAGGTAGGTATTCTATGAGTCAGAAAGTCGAATCGTGAAGTTTTAATTATCGCTCTAGGTGATATATAAGAAGAAGTATGTGAATTTTGCAGTTTACAAACAGGTTCTCCTTGTTAAAACAAATCTAAGGTTTCAGCATCTATCACACTAACTGACTAGTTACAAGGTAGCTGGTTCAAAAATTCGTATCTTAAGCAGTATGACTTAAAGATTATCAGTAGTTGCGTATGAACAATAACTGGCTAATATTCACTGGAGTTTTATAGTTATAAAAAATTCATCTGAAACCGTGATATTTGGTCAAATTAACAAAAATTGCAGTTGATCTTTTATTTATTGTCTTCTAAATAGTAAACTAAATAATCTTTATAGCATTGGTTTCAATTAAAATCACATTTTATTTACTCAAATAATTTATATAGCGATTAAAACATCCGAATTTAGTCAATCTAATTGAAGTGTTTCGTAAGAAAAAACGACTAAATTTGGTATTTCAGTTTATTGACAATTCTCTATTAAATGAAATGGAACAAAGGCCAAGAAGGTAAGTCCTCTCCACTTTCTTCTTTTTCTTCTTTATTGTGTTATAAGAAAGTGAAAATGTGAAAATTTATTGTATTGATGATTCAGTGAGTCAGATGCAACGTAGAACTTCGTGCGTAAGTACATCAGTTCATGTTGCCATACCACATTAGCACAGAGATGTAATTGTCAATTCAAATCCAATAGTAGTAGAGGTAGTAAAGGTATTAGAAGTAATCGGAGAGGTTAGGATTTGAAGAGTGATAGCGTTAGTAGAATTATTAGCAGCATTGGAGAAGATTACGGAGCGAAGATATGATTTGAAAAGTATAATTCAATGAGATAACTTTAGAAGGAGAAAGATAGAGATGGTGAAGAATTCAGAAAGTTAGAATTCGAGAGAACACAGTGAATGAGTGCACCTGCGCCTTTGCAAACGATTTTGAGCCACGTCGTTCAAGGTCTCTAACCATTGGTGACTTTCGTCTCGCGGACCCCAACCAGGTAGCCTACATCTACCAACATTACTCAGTCCACTTGTCAGTGACTTCATGGATTTCTGCCATGTTTTCATTTGACCACCCCTAGCTTTCTTCCAACCTACTCCTACACCACAAAACAGCTCGTCGAGGTAGTCGGTGGTTAGGCATTCGTAACACATGTCCCAACCACCTCAACTGATATGGTCTCAATATTTCATCTATTGATCTGTCATCTTTACCGAGAACTCGTTTCCTAATAGCAGCATTGCTCACTCGGTTGTCCCAGGAAACATGAACAATGCTTCGAAGACATCTATGATCGAAAAACAGTATTCGTAGGTTACTTGTTTTCAATCATAGATGTCTTCGAAGTCTTGATGATTACTGCATAATGCCACATTATTCTTATCCTATAACCAGTAAACAAGATCGATAACTACAAATCAAATGCACGTTTCAGCAGTCAAACATATAAAGTTTGACTGATAATTTTACACCCAGACTAACACTTCAATGATAATTAAATTTGTGCATATAATCTTTAAGTTGTATGAATTTGCGTAATTATTATTACGAAATAATATTTATAACAGCTCGTAAAGCAACTGAATTTAATTATTTTTTAACTGAAATTATTTTACTGATTGTGAATCCCCCTTGTTAATATTGTGTTATTATTACTATATTTAAAATACCTTAACTAATTTTTGATGAATACCTTTAAGTGGTCAGTATAAAAAGAGCTATTTTTCAACTAACAAGTCTTAACTAAAAGATGTATAATGTTCAAATAAAAATCTCTAGAGTGGAGTGAAGATAATTAATTAATTTCGAAATGTACTGAATATTTAAGATGGTTGGAAAAATTTGTAGCTCAGGTGAATGATTGTGGTGGTGTTTCGTTCTCTGACCTGGATGTTTTGGTTGTGAAGCTTTCATTGTTCTTCTTATGAACAATATCATCAGCACAAACTTCAGATAGAAGTGAAATATTCGAATTTCTCCACGTTTGACCTGTAGCTTGTTCTGCTAACCTCGATCTTGATTGGTTGCTGTTGACCTTAAATCTGTGGTTGTTTGCACATTTATATTGCTTGTACTTACCTTTTAATCTGTTTCTTGATCCTATGATTTTTCTGATTAATTGATAAATTGGCGCAATGTCGATGTGTTTGTCAATTGCTTAAGTTTGTGCTGATGGTGTTGTTCAGAAGAATAGTGAAACATCCACAACCAAAACATTCAGCTCAGAGAACGAAACAACACAACAACTAAATTTTTCAACGTTTTCGTTACCAGATTTTCTTTTAAGGAAAACACTAAATTCCAGAACTACAAGTTTTAAACTTTACCTATTTAAATATTGGTATCTTTCGTGGGACGATTAAGTAAATGTTGAAAGACATCAAATTAAATTTTTATTCCAGTAAAAATATGATATATCTACACAAGACTCCGATAGACAATCATGAACTTAGAATCATATCATTCACGATTTGCAGAAGTAAGCTGTTACTTGATGAAACTGCAAATCATTTACCACAGTATACAATGGTGTTTAGCATCACGGTAGACTGAAAAATGACTAGGAGTAATCACAAAGAAAACATACCAGTCTATGAAGTTACCACCAGTTAATAAAGGTTATTTGAGGAAGTGCAGATTTTCTAGTTGTTGGTGGGTGGTTTTGTCGTTGAATTTTTATTGTTCTTCTGAATAACATAGTCATCGCAAACTTCTGGTAGATGTGAAGTACTCGAATTTCGCACTTATAACCAAGAGATTTTCTTGTCAACATCAATCTTGATGTAGTTGACATTTAACCTGTCATTATCCTCCTCCTTGTTTTGATTGTATCTCTCATATATATCATGAACAAATATGGTAGCACTAATGAGATCAAAGGTAGGGATATTCAAAATAAATATGTAGACAACGACGGGTTAATGATCAACAATGGCTAATAAAGACAGGGTCAACTGGACAAGTCATTTATAACGAGATTCAAGTAGCTTACTTCTACCTGAAGTTGATTGAATCATTGTTAGACCACCATGAAAATCTGATAACGAAATGAAGTTAATAATGATGAAAATAGTAAATAGCAGTTTCCGAAATATTAGGAACAGTAATTTTATATCAATCTGTCTATCTATCTATCTACCTATATATAAATATATAGCTATTGTTGAGTTGCTTATCGAAATTATGAATCGATCAATGTTAGACAACCATTTGAAACCTGGAAGCACTGAACGGCTGTTTAGTCCTGATGTGGGACTGATCGGTAGTGTGCATCCAAGACTCCAGCACCTCGCAGGATTCGAACCTAGGATCTTCGGTCATGCGCGTGGACACCTAACCTCTGGATCACTGGGCCGGCATCCAGTGGTGTTAACGTCTAACTCTGATCAGTCTAGGGATTAAGCGCGGCCTTCCTCTATGTCTTCGGTGGTTACTTCCTATACTCGACAGGGTTGAACCCCGATGACAGCGTCCTGAGAGTAGCACGAGTCTTGGATGCGCGCTGCCGATGAGTACCATGTCAAGACGAAACGGCCATCCAGTATTTCATTAATATTGTTCTATATTTTCTGCCAAGTTTCCTAGAATAAGATGTAAAAGTGAACAATATTTTTTTCTATTAGATCGTCATCAGACTTCACTCTAATTAACATGAATATTAATATGAAATTTTAAACTAATCAAGGCTATTCGGGTCCGTAATTGCAATGAAATAGATTACGTAACTACACTTAATAGGTAAAAGTACAAATTGACAGTAGAAATACAGGTGTACTGTTAGTAATAAGAATAATAACATACAATAACAAAAGTTTTGTCAATAGTTCAACCTTAGAAGTAAAAGGTCATACGTGGATAAATAAACTTGAAATAATAATCACAAAACTCTATTGAAATCACGTAATAAGATGTGTGTAAATAATTAGACAGTAAAGAATATAAACGGAAGAATGACAAACAAATACAGGATATGAAAATAATGCTAATAATAATAAAAATGAAATGATAATTTTTTAAAATTTATTTAGTAATATCTGGTCAAAGAAGGGATAGAGGTGTCACGTATTTCTTTTCTACACATTAATTAGTATTGAATTTTCGGATTCCTATAGCGTTTTTGATAATTAGTAGACGAGTTTAAAACCCGTCGGGAAATAATGAAGATATACCATAGACTTTTATTTATAATAATCAGATGTGCCAAGATGAAGCTGCATATTGTTTTTATATGGCCGTTTCCAAATTATTCTGGGAGATGTTCACTCATTCGTTGTTTAGGTTGTCTGGTAGTACATCCAATACATATATCTTCACAGGATCAGCTGAATTTGTAAATACACACTGAGGAAGCAAATTTGGATAACTTGTCCTTCATTTGAGTTGAGGTCACTGGTCGAGTTGAGTATTATCCTACTAATCACCTTCACTAATCTATCATTTCATATCAATATTCATGTATATTAGAATAAAGCCTGATGATCTGATTGACAACAATATTGTTCACTTGTATGTGTTTTTCTACTAAGCACAATGGGAATCTTTAAAATGTTAAGATTTGCAGGATCTTCGTTAATTTTATTAGTTCAACTAATTTGGTTTTCACCATGTTTACTCTATTTACATTTAATTGTGCCGAGTCCTACGTTTATTATGACAGACTCAGACGCTTATTATATCTCATGGCGTTCATAACGCATTCGAAAATAAAATATTCTTCACTAAATTTATGAATAAGTTTGTTATTGTCGATTTCGTTATTTAACGAAGTTTTTCAGTACTAGGATCAGAAGAACTTTTTCAGGAGATTTAACGAAGATCAACCATAGATTATCATCAATGAATCAAATAGATTAAAAGTACTTGTACTTTTACATTATTTTCAAAATATTTGTAGTAATGTGATGGATTTTCAAGCTTTCCTATCATAACTAATCGATTAGGAGGTATTTTCGCCTAACATGTATAAAAGTTTTTCTCTTTTTTCCAAAAATGTACTCTAGTTCTCTCATTCGTAGGTCAGCTGACATTCGAGAAATTTCCCCTATTATTTTGAAAGAAAGATAAACATTCATTATGAATGTTTTTTCCCCTAATTTAACTGTATACATAATCAGTCAATATTAATTGATCAATAGAATTTATGGTTCGGTTTGAAAGTAAATAATTGTTGAACTTTTAGCTCTAACTTGTTATAAGGGAATGGAAAAAGAAAATCAATAATCAAATGCAAACTACACATAAAATTAAATTTCAATTTGATCGTTAAAGAAATTAAGCATTGCTATAATGTAATGAGAATATTGAAAATAACGCCCTAATTAATTAGAATACACACTTATAATAACCTGTATTTGTTTTTAATTTGAATTATTTTCAAAAAAACAGAGAGAAATTAATGAAGGTTTATATTCAGTTAAAATGCTTCAGTTAAATGCTTCAAATGCTCATCGAGAAAAATTACCTTGTAAAAGCAAATCATTCAGTTATTGATAGGTCTACACTTCAAATGATATTGATCACTGAGTAATAATATCACATTAATCCAGTTCTTGGCGTAAACATGGATTATTACCATAAGTCTAAGTGATACGACGGAACACTTTTTCACGTTAGCTGGTGTATGTATTCAATAGTAGTAATAACTAGATTCTCTCTTCATGTTATATAGCACTTGTAAGAAAGGTCTAATGAAGTCTTGAAAGAATAGATACTTTGGTGCAGTTTAAAGGGAAACTAGTTCATCTAGAGTAGATAATGGTTATTTTTTTGAAATCAATCTGGTTTTGAAGGTTTGTTTCAAACAAATTGCAAACTCTTAGCTGTATACAAAATTCCGATAAACATTTAAGAATATGAATTTCATGCAATAATTTGTTCTTCAGAAGAAAACTGTTGTTAACAAATTTATACATTCAAAGTTAGCCACTTAGAATTTTCTAGTTTATTTCCACTTTTCGAAAAAGTATATTAACAAGACCAACGAAACTTATACTACCTCAGAGAATAAATTATGGTATAAGACAAAGGAATAGAATTGTATTTATTACGTTTCCTTCATACTTGCGTATCTTCTCGAAAGTAGAAACAACGTTGGTGTTGAACTTTAACATCATATGTTGAGTCTTGTTAATATATTTTATCCTTCAAAACGTTGTTTTTAGTGTATAGTAAAAGCCATTATATGTTAAAATGAATCAGCTTAGTTTAAATGTCTGTTATACTGCTGAAACACCCCTTAGTGTCGTCTTATGCACTCAGAACATAGTATTCACTTACTTAGTTTAATTTATAATCATATCCTGAATTGATGTGACAGATGAAGACAAGCTTTTCTGTGATTTGATATTATCAGAAGAATCTATTGTAATCTAACTGGTTCCGTTGCATAAATTCATAAATAATTAGTTGTGAACTTACATCTATGTGTATATTTTCCGTGTATATGTGTGTGTATATGCTTGAATAGAAGAGATGTTTGAATTTCTATTTATCGTGTTACTTATGTAACTGTATGTAAACTGAAAAAAAAAACAGAATTATTGATGAAGCCGATACTGAAGTTTTTTTTATCTATTCACTTTGTTCAGTTTTTTTACGCTCATCATATAAGTACAAAAACAAATGTATAATTTACTAGTAACATTACGTATTTAGCTTTTATATAACACGGTTGTATAGATAGGATTATCCAAAGTATTATTTACAAAGATAATAAGATTTACATTTCATTCGCCATAGTTATTATGATCAGCAGTGCAATCTTCGCTAAACTAATTCTTATTTTATAAACACCATAGTCATCTTTTCATTGAGTCATTTCTCGAAACCCTTTCAAATCTGGCTTATTTATTATGTAACCTTTCAGGTACTAAATCTAGGCTATTGTTATGAAACTGGTGCATAATAATTATCACACGTCCCATCTTAACTGTTTCTGGATTTCATTTAATTACTGACTCATCCCTACCTTTATTTGAACTCTAATTTTATATGACCTCAATCTGTTTGATGCACAAATATATATTGCAGTACAGGGTTGTGAAGAATGTCATGTTACACATTTGAAATCATGAATCGATCAATGTTAGACCACCATTGGTGTATACGGTTGCGCAAGAACGTCAATTAATCGAAGTTAGTCAATAACACCGTCAGTGATTCAGAGGTTAGACGTTTGCGGGCAAGACCGAAGGTCCTGGGTTCGAATCCCGCGAGGTGCAGGAGTCATGGATGAGCACTGCTGATGAGTCCCATACCAGGACGAAAACGGCCATCCAGTGCTTCCAGGTTTCTAGGCGTGGTCTAACACTGATCGATTCATGATTTCAAATGTGTAACAAATGTATATGTATACAGCTATTATTAAACTTGACTTATTGATTCCCTTCTGTTATCAGTGTCAGTAACTCAATATTATTATTGTTACACTTTATTACATATATGATGGTAAGCAGCTGACAAGAGACCATGAAACAGATTGAATTCCTGTTATTCTACCTCAAATGTTATTTTGGTTTTATTTAAATTCACAATCGAAACAAACCTCATCAACAATAGAAGTTAAATGCCTAATACGACTTCATTTTCCACAGTATTCTGTCTGATCAAGTGATTGGTCTCAATGTTTAAGAAACCTCAGTACTTTATTATCTAAATTTGTTTATCATGTTCTACGTAATTACTCATTATTTTTTTGTAGATAATTCTACATTTATATGAATTGTTAATGATTTGAATATTTGACCACCATTGATCTTATTGTCTATGATAGAGACCTGAGGAAAGGCTAACTGAAATTAAACATACTTTTATTCAGCTAGTATTTTTTAAACATTCACTGATAGGCTTTAATTGGTGGTAGAAAGTAACCATTAACATGAAAAGTCAGTAAACGGAGCATCAGATTGTGATCTATGGAAATCAATAAGGATGAATGACAAAATAAAATGATACCGAATAATAATCTATGTGAACATCCCAATTGTAAGACTTCAAAAAGCTGTTCCATTATTCAATAAACAAACATTTCAAATGTTTAGTTTGCATTTAGTAAAAAGGATAGTTGAAGTAGTGAATATGACGGATGATATTCAATCTATCCGTTTTAAAGAACCTGAAGATTGTTTTTTTTATCTGCTCAGTGGTTTGACAAAAAATATGATAAATTAAAAATGTATTACGATATATTAAACAATCATTCATTGAGATAAACAATTCTGAGATATGAATATTTTACTGAGTTTTGTTAACATTCAAAACAAAATTGAAACATACTTGTTAAGAAATTTACGATTTTATTAGTTCTTTTCATAACGGCAGTAGTTAATGAATTATGTATCATATCAGAATAAGCATTTGTTTGTGCAGATTGTGTCGGCGAATAATTTGCAACAACAACTAACTCAAGTCAAATAACTAGTGAAAGTTAGCTCATACTGGGTATTTGTTTCGTTTATGTACGACAATTCAGAAAACTATGTACTAATAACTCCACTTGAGATCAAACCCACAGCTCTTCGGCAATGTGCTCATATTATCATCTATATCATTTCTTAATGTATATAACTGTTTTAGTGGAAGTTATGTTCAGTTTAACATTTGATACATGGTATAGTCTAGGAAATATATCTGTACCACTTTTTTCCCCTTGATATTCAGGTTGGATAAAGGGAAAATTAGAAAGATTACATGGCAAATTCTACTTGCAACAGATTTTTGTCACCAGTCAAATGTAAGTTAGTTGATATTTATAATTTCTGTATAAAAATTGAACGAAATTGTAATATGAGACTTGATTTTCGGTTTTAAACATCTACCGATCGATGGCTGTTACTTATTTATTAAAAAAATATAACTATTGAGCAGCTGTAGTGGAATTTCGGTGATTTAGATCTTCAGTCATGTAGCGTAAAAGTTATGAAGTCAAACGCAACAACACTAATATTATTCAGCTTCAATCCATATTGAAATATAGTTCAAATGTTTTTGAATGATTAAAAACATGAATCAGTCATTATTAGACCACCATTAGAAACCCAGAATTACTGGGACTCTTCAGCATCCATGAATTAGTATTGCTTTGTGTTTTCGAGAGAAACCATCTTCGGAGAAAAGATTTATTCAGACTAAGGTATACAAGATCTCAATTTCCTTTCATAACATAGATCTATATAACTGATAAGTCTCAGTTCGTAGAAACCGTAGGTTCAAGTCTTCTTCGTGGATGCTTCCAATATCATAATATTATCAAAGTTAAATACGATATCAGCTTGATTTTCGTGTTTAAAAATGACTGTTTGCTTAAAGCATAAAGTATTCAGGTAATATGTTTTTCCGAAATTAGCGATTACTGAGGTTTGACATACGTTTGATGATAGTGGGTTCTTTTCCAGATAATTTAAATTCTGAACTTTAGACATCAGTGTAGCAGCCTTCTCAAAACTTACTCATGACTATCTCATCCTAATAAAGTAGAACAATTCATCCAACATACTAATTTTCAGTGTACCAAATGAATTAGAAATGCTAGAATAATATTTATTGTAGCCAGCTAATATTACTGTCAGTTATTCACTGCCTGTAGAGTATGGACACACAAACTGTTTGTCTATTCCTTAAAAGCATGGCTTTATTGATCATCGTTTCTCCGTCAGTGATAGCATAATTTCAAGATATGGTTGGCATCACAGTTTGAAGTAAGCTGGCTAGCTATAAAAAATATTATGAAGTACTGAATACAAAGGTTCCCATATTTGTGAAGCTTGTACGTAAAGAATTGCGAACTGGAACGTAAATGTATCCAGTTTTATCAGTGGTTTGCTGACTGATGTCAAGTGAGTTAAAAAAGTTTTTAAAATTGAATAAGTGAACTGGTGTAAATAAATTTGTCCGTCAGGTTAATGCTTTTAGCGTTCCTGTATTCTCTGCAATGAATAAGGGAATTATGAAGTCTTCACATAAAACATTCGTCTAAATTTGAAAGAATCGTAGTTGGCTGCCGGTTTAACTTCGGACATGAAAACGATAAATTATGTTTGTAAGTCTTATCGATAGAACTCTAAGCGAATCCAACATTCTAATCGGCCATCTGATTCTGTTGTGAAAATATTTTCAACGCCTGTTTCAGGTGACATATTGTTATCGTAAATTCTTTCTGCTACTGATTCTATAAAAATCCAGATCATCAATCTACAGCGATTCTATTGTTATTCATTCAAAAAAATTACTGAACAAACTGACTCAACTATTTAATCTGTTGCAGTCTGTTAGTTCCCCGAACACGGTAAATAATGATGATGATGATGATCATAATCATAATAATACAATCCATCTAAATCCATCTAAAATTAATCCACATTACTGAATACAACCTAATCATTCACACACAGTGACCATTTAATTGACCTACTTTATGGACGTGTCAATTAAAAATGTTGATTAGAAATATTTGTAAGCTTCCGGTTGACACTAAATTAGTTGAAAGAAAGAGAAAAAACAAGTATGCATAAACTGTTACAAAATTAGTCTAAAAATAGAAACGTGAATTGACTCTGTGGTGTTTTTTTGTTTTGTTATAAATTTAAAAATCAACTGCTACTTTTTTTTATTTTGTTTGCCTCTTTTGTGTAATGTTTCTGTATGTTTCTGTTCTTTCTATTTTTAGTGTATACACAGAGATATTAAACCTGAAAATATTTTGATTAATAAAGCTAATGAAGTGAAATTGTGTGATTTTGGATTTGCAAGATTTTTAAGTGAGTTCAATGCTATAAAAAAAATTAAATTGTATACGGTCAATGGAAATTGTTTCTTTTATGATTATAAAGAAAATGATTCAAGTTAGATAAAAGTTAATGGAGTGCTTTCAGTCTATCTATTAATCTATCTATCTATCTATCTATCTATCTATCTATCTATCTATCTATCTATCTATCTATCTATCTATCTATCTATCTATCTATCTATCTATCTATCTATCTATCTATCTATCTATCTATCTATCTATCTATCTATCTATCTATCTATCTATCTATCTATCTATCTATCTATCTATCTATCTATCTATCTATCTATCTATCTATCTATCTATCTATCTATCTATCTATCTATCTATCTATCTATCTATCTATCTATCTATCTATCTATCTATCTATCTATCTATCTATCTATCTATCTATCTATCTATCTATCTATCTATCTATCTATCTATCTATCTATCTATCTATCTATCTATCTATCTATCTATCTATCTATCTATCTATCTATCTATCTATCTATCTATCTATCTATCTATCTATCTATCTATCTATCTATCTATCTATCTATCTATCTATCTCTTTGTGTATAACTACTTAGTTTATGAAAGGATTATTCAACATGCAACATGAATAAATATAAAATGACGTCGAGAGAGTAGTTCAATGTAGTGGTTAATTTTCCGGCGACTTTACTATCAAACGTTGCATGTACAAAACCATAGTTTTTCGAAATCCGTAACAGGTACTAAACAATTTGAGCAAAATGACCAAAACTTTCACAGGGACTAAACATTTTTGTAAAACAACATAACACGATAAAGTTAAAAGTTTGAAGGATTACTTTAGTTAGTTTAAATGACAAAAGTTACGAGAGGGATTCACGTCATTCATTTATTCTTGGCTGTTTACGATCATGCTGGATGATTGTTGTAACCTTCCATTGGACAACTGATGCACCTAGCTTCAAAATAACCAGATTACGCGAGAAATGATTATAGATGATATCATATTGTGAAAGTTATCGGAAAACATAAGTTTGAAATCTTCTCGTCTCTGCGCATGATCCAAATTAGCAAATAATATCCATACAAAGTATCTTTTCAAGAAACGGCTTAGTGTTTTCGTATAACAAATCTTAGCAATAAACATTTTCGATCAGTATTTAAATGAAAATGTCATTCTCTTTTTTAAATAAGTGAATTTAAGTACCAACTATTATAGACTCATTCCGTTTATGATTGAAAATGATGCAGATATATAGAAACGTTCCTGCTGGCTATGTCATAAAGACATTCCATAGATAGATTTTCTTAACTTCCCGTCAGTTTTTCTTTTTGGCCTACAGAAATTAGGTGGTTAGCTAATTCCCTCCCTTAAGAAAAACACTGATTACCTTTTGATGTGAACTATTGGACGGATGTGAGATATAACTCTTATCATATTTGTTAGGTATGTAGACTCTTGAGGAAATAAAATTTCCCATAATAAAATTCATTAGCTTGTTCTAAAGAGTATTAATAAAGTTCACAGACGCTGTCAACGACACTCAGAGAGGGAGGTTCATCTCTTTGTTATCATGTAAATAATGACATTGGAATTAAAGTGCACATTGATAGTGCATCTCAATGATAAGCCTTTTAGATAGGAGGTTGGTGTTCCAAGGATCAGTATTTTATCATTCATTTGTTTAAACCACCAATATTAAAACAGAGCTTTCAGTTTGAGTCATCTAAAAACTTATCATGTAAAAGCGTTGTACAGCCTTCACTTTATTAACAAGCCAGTGGCTATATATATGGAGGAAATAAATCTATTATATTAGAATAGATGATATGTACTCTTTAATTCATTTGTATAGGGAATTTGAATCTTCTTATTGATCGTTAGGACTGCGATTGATCAGTCTTATTTGGCATATGTACATCCTGTGCAATTCGTTTCGATAAAGATATTAGGTAACAAGCACTGTAAGCAGAAATTGATAGTGACTAACAGTGAAATCCAGGACACATGTTTCGTTCTGTTTGGGATTCATCAGCTAAATATACCAACATCCTAGAGTTGATGTTTACTCAGAGATGCGAATCCAATACTTAACTACTGAGTTCAGCCAACCACTGATTTATGCAATGAGATGTAGTTTAATTCATTTGTATTAGTGGTTTGAATCTCCTCTCTGATAGTTTGGACTACAAATAATCAGTCTTGTTTGGTCTAGGTGCATCCACTGCTAGCCATTATTCTTCTCTGCTTAAATATATGATCTTTTCAATGTACTATGTTACCTAACCTCTAGTTTCTTCTGTACTTCATTAACATCTCATTCTTTCACTCAATTATCGGCCAAACTGCAAGCCTACTTATTTCTATTTTTGTCTGATCTTTGATTATATTTCATATAAAAATTTTCCTCATAATATTTTACTACCAAGTTTTAAAAATTTTAGTTTATAAAGTCCAGTTCTTATATTTTTCTTCTACTGCATCACATAAATAATACAGTTTTTTTCTAACTTACTGCTCATTTGCATTTCTTTGTGATTACGCAATCGATAAATTATTGTTATTGATTAGTGTAATCAAAAGTTATTAACCAAAATGGGACATATTTATTGTGACATCTCTTCAAAGAAAATGATTAGGATTTTTTCCATTTCAAGCCTACTTTGTATTTTTCAGTTTATCGCAATCATTGTGTTATAATTGCACTATACATGATTGTTAATCACAAAAACACAGTTTATCGAAATCAGCCAACAATAGTTATTTTGATTCTTCACTGTCGTTAAATATTGATTTCTTAAATTATATATGAGTGAATGGGATAATGATATCTGGTCACATAATTAAGAGGCTTTATTTGTTATGCAAATCTTCATACATAGTGAAGTCGCTATAAATCTTGTGAGATATTTTATGAAACTTTATTTTGAGATGGTGGAGAAAACTTGTAGCTCAGGTGGATGATTGTGGTGGTGTTTCGTTCTCTGAGCTGGTTGTTTTTTTTATTTGTATATAAAAAAATGCACGTGAAAAAAGAGTCAGTCAACCAGTTGTCATTCTTCTTGGAAAAATCTTATATTCCAGATTTGAGCAAAGAATAATGTAAGTTTGTCTACCTACAAGGATGTTGTAAAGTCAACACTTGGTGTTAGATAAGCGGCTTTTTGTTTGACAACTGAAATAGAAAATAATTAAGAGATTTTTACAATATGCAAGGCCACATCCTTCCTGTCCAACTCAAATGGACACCTTTATCCGCAGTGGTGATATACAAGTATAATTAGAACTGATAATGATAGTCCCATAAAATAACTCAACTAGAATATTTATTGTATTCTATACTGAATAAACATTTCGAGGATAATTTTATACATTAAGTTCATAAGAAAATTCTACCTTTTTTTTTGAATAACAGGTCCTGGTGGTGAATATACAGACTACGTAGCAACACGTTGGTATCGATCGCCAGAATTATTAGTTGGAGATACACAATATGGACCACCAGTTGATGTCTGGGCAATTGGATGTGTCTTTGCAGAAATGTTACTTGGGTGTCCTCTATGGCCAGGTTCTTCTGACTTGGATCAACTTTATCTTATAACCAAAAACCTGGGTAAGACAAATGCACATTGTATACACAATTTAGTAAATATCAAAGTTTGAAAAATGTAGTGAATACAATGGTGACTGAATGCTTTTTTTCTAAACTATGCAAGACAACATGTATTCTGTTAAATTATCAAGCAGAAATTACTGTATACATAGCTTCTTGTGGATACTTTTAGAGTGATTTAAGGATAAAATGATTATGACATTATTTAAGAATTAATGGTCGGGTAATCATAAATTTCATATATCTAGGAAATAAATGTAGATCATGTACACTTAACGATAATTAATAATTATAAGTGTGAAGCTACTTTCTACATGTGTACATTGTCTATTAATGAATGAGTTGATAATATTAAAGGGAGCCAATCAAACATCTTTTGCAAACAAAATCCTATTCTGAGATGATGGAGGAAATTTGTAGCTCAGGTAGATGATTATAGTGGATTTTCATACTCTGAGCTCGGTGTTTTTGATGTGGAGCTTTCATTGTTATTCTGAACAATCTCATCAGAACAATCTTTAAAACATCCAGCTCAGAGAACGTAACTCCACAATAAAAAACTCTATCCTGACACTATATGTACATAGTTGCATCCACTGTAAAGTTTTCACGTTTTCATTTGTTCTCAATAATGGTTTACTCACACAAGCGCAGGACCGAAGGACCTGGGTTCGAATCCTGCGAGGTTCAGGAGTCAAGGTTGCTCATTGCTGATGATTTCTATGCCAGAACGAAACGGCCAACCAGTGCTTCTAGGGTTCTAATGGTGGTCTAACATTGGTCAATTCATGAGTTCAATAGGCAACTCAGCTATCTCCACAACCCCATAACAGAATTGGTCTTAATTATATATATATATATATATATATATAGCCATTTTATAACATAAGTTTTAACTAATGTTACTATTGCAGAGATTGTGTATTTACTGTAAACGATTATATATTATGAAACTAATTTACATAACTCCACTTCACTAAATTAGAACTCATATGAATACACTAAGTACTTAAGATTATTTGTATTATTTAACTAAGAACATGTTACAAATATAGATCGTGTAAATACGGTGTAACGTACGAAGAAATCAAGATCAGATGTAATACATGTATTTGTCGAACACAGCTTATTCACAAAATATGCACAAATAATCTTCAAACCTCTGTTCACAATAAAAGCAGGTCATTGATTATCCACACTCACATTTCTTTTGAACTGCAATAAACTTTGATCGTGCCATCCATATCGATCTTCAGATACCTCTCTGGTAGCAACGTCTGAGCGACAGTATGCTACACACTACTTATATGTCGCCTTGTGAGTAGCACTCACCATATCATAACAAAATAACTAAATTTATTTGTAAATTATTCGAGTTTCTTATAGTAGTCAGTAATAAAAGTTAACAAGTACATACCGTTTTATTTGGAAATTATCAAATGCAATCAAGTTATTTGTCATTGATTGGTATTAAATTACGTTTTTGAAATACATTCGTCATTTACGACATATCCAATTCAAGTGATCGATTGTTCTATATAAATGTCACAAATTCAAGATACACATTAAAAATTATGGAAGGGATAGACTGCAGTCAGCAGTATCGATCACTATGGGCATATTTTTTTCAGTTAGAAACCAGTCAGTTGGTTCTATTCATATTCCAGTATTGGATACTTTCTTTAAGAATCAAATCGACTGCCTTACTTTAAAAATACCGAACGCATTATCCACTGAGCCAATGAATCCAGTTAGCTGCTCACTAAAAAACCTTTACAAATTCAATAAAAAAATATTCTACCCTTTTAAATGTCTATTTTTCTGTCTTCTTGAGTAAACTAAGCAGTGTAACTAATATTCTCATTTCTATTAATTGTAAATCGTTATAATAATTATTATTATCTGCCTTTATAAGTCAGTAAAAGGTTTTAATGTATTCACTCACCTTAAGTACTCATAGTGATTAATTGAAAACAAGCAGACTTTTATTATTACAGGATATTATTTTTTAAATTTTCTAACCGCCAATTTTACAAAAACAAACAAACAAACAAACAGAAAACAAAGATTTAAATAAAATCGTTAAAAAATTATTTCCAAAATCCATTGAACCACGGCATGTATACATACAAAGTTTAAAAAAAAAATTTCGTTACATTATTATTCTTGTTGTTAAATTATTCAGACTTTCTTTTTTTAACAAAAAAACTTTGTATAGATCATCAGTCAGATTAGTGACTATATGGTGGTTTACTAATTCTTAAATTTCTGGTACTATAACAACCATCACAAAATATAAAAAAAAATAAAATGTTGTTACATTTTTATTTTACAAAAGAAACAACATTGTATACCGTTTTAAAGAAGCAGAATAACAGTGTATCCTAACAAAAATATTCAAGTTTTTACTAGTTAGACAGAAATTTTTAGTAACCAAATTAAAAATAAAGGAGAAGGATAGTGTACCTCCTTTTGTCATCTTATTTATTTACTTATTTATTATTTAGAAAACAAAGTAATGAGATTAAATTTTTCAAAAAAAAAATCCCATAGGGAGGGATTGGACATTTTTTGTTGTTGTTGTTGTGTTCCAGTAAGTGTTTGCCGAAAAGTGTATGGTATGACAGAGTTGATTGTCGAATACAATAAGTACAATAAGTTTTCTGATTACAGCTTACTTCTGTATGATTGTCGGTAATATCATAGCATTAGATTAAAGTAAATTCATGTACAATTAGTTAGATTAAATGAGGAATAGTGTTATTTTATTTTAAAGCAAAACATGAATAGTTGATCGATTCCCTAAATGAGTTCCTATATTAGGCTGCATTATAAATCACTGCATTATAAATCATTACATTTACTGCAACATTTTAACCAAGTTGATTTATGCTGAAGTACTAGTGTGGTGTGTGCTACTTATACGAACGATATAAGTAGTATAAGAAGGGACGTGAAAGAAGAAGTCTCACGGTTAGAAGAGGAAAACGGAAAGCAAATGGAGCAAAAGCAAGAAGTAAGTGGAGTACCAACAGGAAGGAAAGGGAGCAACAACAGGAATGGAAGAAGGATGGATCGTTGGAAGTCACGACTCAATGATGGTGTGCAAATAGAGTATTCAATGTAATGTTTTCGTTTTTAACTAACTCAGAGTGTAATTAATATAATACGATCTCCCTCGTCTGCCTCAGTCTTCTCGCTAGGAAACATTCAACAGCCGGAGACCGTAATCAATTCAGAAAAATGCTCAGATTACATTGAGCAGCTGTGATTTCAATTTAAAATATTACTAAAAATCAGATTATATCTGAGTAATTTCTTCCTGAAATTCTATTTACGCATTACCTTTCAGGTGATCTCTATCCAAGACATCGTCAAATATTTGAACAAAGTAAATACTTTGCTGGTATTCAAGTCCCATCTTCAACATCTGTGGTAAGTTACAGAACAGTAATTTTAAATAAATCGAACTGAAAAAAAAAACAATACTGAAGTTACCAAATGTATGACGTTAATATTTTTTATGAATTTGGTTCACTATCGAAATTGCTAAATACTACTGATAAATCTTAGTGTTTAATTTAACTTTGATTTCCAAAAATCCAACTCCTATGGCACGTTGAAATTAAACTGACGAACTATTATTTAAAGCATTAGGAGGATATATAGAGAATAATTAACTGAAGTTTGACGTCTGAATATTTTCAAATAGCTTACTATTTGAAATTGATTGTACACTTCCAACTTCATTACCGGAATTTCAAAAAATCTATCTACATAGTACATGAACATCGGGCCCACACAACTAATGATATTGATATGAGTGATATGTTTTGTGGACAATTTTCACTTCTTGAAGCTGTTATTCATTACACAGTGACATACGAAAGATTACTCATAACAGTTGAACAGCCTGAAAAAATTTACACACACCTCTTAAACTAATAATGACAGTCATGTGCTTGCTCATCAGTATTTAATTTGAATGTGCATACATGTTTTGATTTCCGATGATACAAATTCCGTTCAAATCAGTACTAAGAGGCAAAATATTCAAATCTATCTCTGATTATGATTAAAAAATGACCAACTAATGGCAAACATACTGATAATTCATCTAGTCTTAGTGACCTATAAGATTTGAATATTTGAATGACAAAACTATTTTTATTTAGAAGAATTTATCTATTCATCCCAAACTTTGTTTTATAGCTAATTCTTTAGCAATCCCTTTTAAACAATTGCTATATATATACCTCGAATAACCTTGTAAATCATTTGTGGTTAATTGATTTACAGAATTGAATATATAAGTAAGATTTGTAAATGATCCATTAAATCCGCTTGCCAGTGATTTTCTTACAATGGATTTAATGTTTGAAAATGCAAATTCAATTGGATTAAATATATAACTATAAGGGGAATAAAAAGATAACCTTTATTCTCTTTTCATCAAAAAAATTTTTGGTAATATTGGAGACATGGATCTTGACGTTATCAAGGATAAAAATGCAATCCTTAAAAAAGTGATTTTTGATTGCATTTTTCAATCAATTGATCAAAAAAAATGAATGAACTTAGCGGAGTTCACTGAACCAAAAAAATGTTTGAGCAAAAAGAACTTCATTTTCTGTTATTGTGGGTATCAAACTTACATTAGTTCCACGTGTTGACGGAACTATGGCACTTGCTGGTTTTCCTCTTGTAGATCTTCCCAAAATTCTTCTCGAATACAAATTAAAGGATGATTCATCAATAAAAACTTTTATGTAGGAGTCTTCGATATTCATAAAATCTTGTGCATATATCTGTCGTTTAATTTTACTTGATTTTGAGTTGATAATAATCGATGTATAAGGACATTTTAAGGATTATAAAAAATCCTAAAAATCGCTGTAGTTGTTTTGAAAAACGCTGTGGAAATTTATAGAAAACGAGTTGAGATACTATATAATAATCCTTATTTTTTAGTAATAATGTAAGCAGATGGTTTAATGTATTGATGAAACTACAAGTCTGTCTACATGTTTACACTTTATTTTACTACAGGAGCCATTAGAGAAGAGATTTGAAAGAACCTATCCCTTGACGTTAAGTCCAAGAGAACTGGATTTTTTACAGGTTAGAATCATTATTATCTAGGAATTTAATAAAGTTTAATTGGTTGTTATTGTAGGGTTCTGTTAAATCATGAGTCGATCATTACTAGACAACAGCTGGAAACCTGGGGGCAATGAAAGACCGTTGATTGATTGAAATCAGATACTGACAGCTTTGGATGCAGGCTCAGTAATCTGGCGGTTAATCATTCGCTTGTGAGACCGAATGTCTTGGATTCGATTTCCGCTTGCGCAGTAGTGGATACACACTGTTGATTAGTCTTGTAGTATGACGAAATGGCCGTCCAGTGGTTCCAGGTTTCTAATGGTGGTCTAACATATATTTTCCGTGTCAAGACGTTATTATTTTGTTGGTATTAACCTACTGAATAATGGCCCTCCTATTTAGTAACTAATAGTTGACGATAAAGAAAAGTCAAATCAAACGCAGTGACACGTGATTACTAGGGTTGCTGAAAAGAGAATAGCCTAGATTGCATTCTCAGAGACAGTAATACATATCATACGCATGCAGTATATTAGAGTCAAAATGCGTTAGTCAGTATACACAAATTGTGTTTGCATAATCTTTGTTATCATATATATATATATATATATATATATATATATATATATATATATATATATATATATATATATATATATATATATATATATGTCCACACTGAAACAGAGTTGCCTCAGTTTTTTTATCAGGAAAGTTAAGTAATGCAACTGTCATTAGTATGAACTCAATAAAAATGGCATTGATCATTAGTCATTAATTAATCATTGAAAATTACTGTCGTTTAGACAATGGAAATCATAGGAAACTGTTAGAAAGCTTACATTCTCAGTTGTTTGATGATTTATTTTGAGACATCTTCACTAAGCAATGAAGATTTTGATAGAATAGCGAGAAGACGTAATTGATCATAAAAATGTGATGTATTCGCACTAGACATTTCGAACAATCTGGTCACACATGTACACTTGTCAAGGCATTTTATATGAAGATTAAATAAAAGGTCAATTAAATAAAAGTTCAAATAGACATAAGGTAATAATTGTAAATGTGACGGAGAGAGAAAATTAACGTAATATGGAAAGAATAAGAAAGGGTTGGAAAGTATCACATTACATTATGCTTAAAGATTCCCAGTGTAAATTTAAATGTCTACTAGCATTATTACATCACATTTTTCAGATCAATTACGTCCTGTATTACGGGGTCGTGAAGATTGTTAAGTTACACATTTTTGAAACCATGAATCGATCATTGTTAGACAACCATTAGAAACCTGGAAGTACTGGACGGCTGTTTCGTCATTGTATGGGACTCATCAGCAGTGCGCATCCTCGACTCCTTCACCCCGCAGGATTCGGACCCAGGACCTTCGGTATTATGCGCGAACGCCTAACCATTGGACCACTGAGCCGGTATCCAACGGTTATAATGTCTAACTTGATCGATTCACGGAGTTGCGCAACCTCATACACAGTCTTCGGTAGTTATTGTCTACACCCGAACAGGTTGAACTTCACTGGTCACGTCTTCCCACTAGAACTCGAAGGATATTCCTCACGATGCTAGTCACTAGTGAGCACAGGTGGATGCGCACTGCTGAAGAGTCCCATACCAGGACGAAACGGCCTTCCAATGGTGGTTTAACATTGATCAATTACGTTTTCTCACTGTTCTATCAAAATGAAAATTTTATTGTAAGAGGTGCATATAAGTGCAAGTGTTTTGTTGTCATATTCTAGATTATTAAGTAAGTTAATGATGAGTAAACATTAATTCTTTCTTCGTTAATAGGCTTGTGTACGAATGGATCCATCAGAACGATGGAGTTGTGCTGAATTATTGAAACATCCTTATTTTGGCATGCATAGTTTATCAGAGAAAAATAATAAATTGTCATGTAAAATTCAAGGTAACATAATTTTTTTTAGTAACTGAAAAAAACTAAAAAGGAAGTATTTGATATTTTAACTTAGTCATTATAATGTGTTTTGATATTGCAGTTACATAAAAGACAAAAAATATATCAAACGTTTATTTATTGCACATTCGAAATCATCAATCAGTCATTGTTAGATCACCATTAGAAACCCGGAAGCACTGAATGGCCGTTTCGTCCTGGTATGGGACTCATCAGCAGTGCGTATTCACGACTCCTGCACCTCACAGGATTCGAACCCAGGACCTTCAGTATTGTGCGCGAACGCCTAACCATTGGACCACTGAGCCGGCATCCGACGGTATTAATGTCTAACTCTGATTGATCTAAGGATTTCGCTGGACCTCACCCATTTGTCTTTGGTAGTTACTGCCTACACCCGACAGGGTTGAACTGAACTGGTCACGTCTTCTCATTAGAACTCCGAGAATTTATTGATTGAACAGTTAGCTTACTGAAACATGCAAGATTGATATGCCTAGAAAGCAATCAAAAGTATCAGTGATCAGACTAGATGAATCCTAATGACATGTTAGACAAATTTTATATAATTTTTCTAATGTCATTCAGTTTTAACGGCTCATCAGTGATATTTGTTTATCATGTAAGACAATCAATACACTTATGACACTCCCACCGAGGTTATATATATATATATATTTATCAAACCAGTAGTCATCAGTTATGCACTCAAATCCCTTCATTTTATCATTCGTTTAGTCATGTTGCTAATAAGGTTCGCTATACTCATGGCTACTTAATTTCTATTAGTTTTTAAATGCATGAAACAAGAAAATTTCGATATCTCACAGAGTATTAGTCAGTTCATCAGTCTGCAAGATTAAATATTCCTTCTTTCTTTTGGCTTCCTTTGTTTCCCCTTACTAAAGATTGTCACACACAGACACACCTACATACAAACATAACAAACCAAAAGTAGAATTATCTTGCTTTGCTTACCTAATAATGAGCATTGATACAATCAACTAAAACACAAATGTATCATAAAGAAACAAGGATTACATAATAAGTTAAATTCTTCTTACACTGATAAAGAAAGACCTTAGGGTAAAAAGGGGGAAAAAATGAAAGCACACCATTTATTTAACTGTTCACTTAGTTTCTTTGGTTACCGTAGTAACAGTAGACAGAAAGTATTCTATGAAAATGATAGTTAACGATATGAGAAAACGATAGTCTCTCAGTCAATATATATATATATATATATATATATACATGGATTTTACTTACATGAGATTCATGTACAACAACTCAATAAACTGTAACATTTACTCTTTTCGTTCATTCATTCGTTTACCATAGTAACTTGTGAAATTAATAGTAAAGTTACATGTAGGAGGAAAGAAGCGCTGAAACATCATTCTTCCTAAAAAACATTGAAAAATTAAAAAAACATACACCTCAGTTTGTTTAAATCATCAATATTAGCTTGTATTTCTTTGCTTATGGATATTAATAATAATGAAAAGAATTGTTGGCTTTTAAATAATTTTGTTTAGATTCTTGTACATGATAACATTCGACATAGATATTGATTTTTTTAAAAAAAATCCTAGTATTCTAATTTTCGATTCAATTAAATTTCCATTATAATGTTGTTGAATAAGTTGTATACTTATGGTAAGGTTTTCCAACCATAGGTGTCTCTGAAGCATTGCTCTTGTATCATAGGACAACCAAGTGAGCAATGCAGTTGTTAGGAAACGGGTACTAGGTAAGGACGGCAGGTGAATTGATGAAGTAGTGAAACTTCATCAGTTTAGGTGATTGGGACATGTGTTGCGTATGCCTAACCATAGACTGTCTCGTCGAACTATATTTTGCGGTGTAGGAATAGGTTGGAAGAAAGTTAGGGGTGGTCAAACCAAAACATGGCACAAATCCATGAAGTCACTGACAAGTGGACTAAGTCATGTTTGTAAGTGTAGACTACCCGGTTGGGGCTCGCGAGATGATAATAATCGATGGTTAGAGACCCTGAATGACATGGCTCAAAACAGTATGCAATAGCCCAGGTGCATACATTCATTGTGTTCTCTCAAATCCTAACCTTCAGAATTCCTCATTACTTTATCTTTCTTTTAAAGTTTATTTCACTAGATTCTATTTATTGAATAATATTTTCGGACTCTAATGTCTTCGATTACTGCTAACACCTTTACTACCTCTACTACTATTGGATTTGAATTGACAATTACATTTCTGTGCTAATGTGGTATGGCAACATGAACTGATGTACGTACGTACGAAGTTCTGCGTTGCTATTGATTGACTGACACCAAAAATTAGGAGATTTATGAAAAATGTACATTCCAAAGTACATTCGAAAAAAAGCTTATGCAATAAGTTCTGTTTGTGAAAATGACTAATGCAGACACAACAGTTGAAGAAATGAAATGCTGGTAATTCAGGATAAATATTTAACAAAATTGAGCATTCAGAAGGTCCTACCTTGAGTCATTGTTTACTGCACAATTATGAATTAATTGAAATTTTGCTTGACTCATAGACTAGTTTTGTGTTTTACTCATAACAAATTATTTTTAACTTACTACAGACTTGTCACTCAGTTTCCTTACCCCCATATTTTAATTTCTTAATTCTATTAATGTGTAGTCATGATTATACCCAATGCTACTACTGGATAAGTGATTCATAACTTTGAACTGTACAATTAGAGGTTACTTATTTGCTCTGTTATGTTTTATTTTTGAGAATGCTATTCTGGATACCTAGTTGTCTAGTGTTATTCTAGGCTGTTTTATCTTAGAATGAATGTGTCATTAATTAGCCAAAGGTTACTGCTATTCATCAGACAGTCTATTGAATACTCGGATTAGATCAATACAATTATTGTTCCGTCTTACGGTTTGAATTTTCGGTATGACTCAATGGTTTTCTTTCTGTTGATTGAAAATTTAATTGTGTTAAGAGATGAAAGCCCGACAGGCAATTGTACAAACTTAAGTATTTATTGTTAATATACTGATCACTTCAACATTTTCAACTGTTAAAAAATTATTTCCTCATTGGTAATTCTTAATTCTGTTAATCTATTTTTGTATAAATTGAAGGTTCGTTTTTTGAAAAAAAACAATGTTTATTGATATCATTTTCAAAAAATAATCCGGTGTGTAACACATCCAAAAGATCACAGCTATCAGGAAATTTGAAAAACTTGCGCAAATCTCAGTCATTATTATCAAAATGTACATTTTTATCTGGTTAATGGAAGTTTGTAAGAAAAGCCAGACTAAAGTTTCTGGCTAGATGGTTCTCGACGAGAAGTAGTGCTTAGCATGTTGACTATCAGTCTTAATACTGAATTCAGTTTATCTTGGTTATTGTCGTCAAATTTATTAAATATTGGATTGGTATGAACAATTAAAAGTTATTTTATATTATACTGAACTATTTAATTCAATAGTTCTGACAAAAAATGACCAGGTATGCTTGAAACTATTACGAGTTCACCTTAGTCGATAAACGCGAACGAGACAATCACCAGCGTCCAGATAGGCTACCTTGAATCCCAAGCTTAAGATAAAAGGCTTTGTAAGCGTAGAAAGTATATTATACAAACACCCAGCAAGCACAATACAACCAAGCATACAACTCTCGTTTATTTATACATCATAGAAACGTCCTTGGGACAGTCACGAAAATAGCACACTAAAATACACAACAGCCAATCACAGCAATGGATTTTCCTGGTGGGAAATGAAATCTCAAGGTCAACTGATCAGCCAATGCTCGCAAACTTGAAATCCAAAATAAGGCATTTATAAAGCGAGTTCTTGGGATCTAACATCCCCAACGCTCTGAGTTCGACATATGCATCTATCAAGCTGTCTATCATCACAGATCATTTATTTCATATGTAATTTTTAAATATTTCAGTTCAATATGCTAAGGAGACTGTATTCATGATGATCTGGATTCGGACATAAGACTGGAAATCACTCCATGGTTGTTTCATCTTACCGGTCTGAAGCTACAGATTTTCAGGTTAATGTTGAGAATATGCTGACAATGACTGTGAATCCAACAAATACAGAGAAGCTATAAATTTCAGTCAAATTTTAGTATCGTTATCTGATTTCTATCTACTTAAAAAAACTGCATATAACATACTCAAATTTCAAAAGTATAAATGATGTAAACTTTGACATTTAAACATTCCTACCAAATGTACAATATACTCACATACACACACCGGAAAATTGGTGGTTTGACTCGACGTTTAATTGTTACTGTTCAGCAGTTATAAACTTTAACAAGACATCCGTTAAGTGCATAAGTTTTTTAAGTTTATTTCAAAGATTTCATTTATATTAATCATCATAATTAACACATTGTTTTTTTCATGTGTCTCTTTCATTGCTGTCATAGATTTAGGGACCAATGTAATCAATGAATCCAGTTCATCATCGAATTCAGTGTTAAAAAATGAAAAACTCGCCGGAATGGAAAATTCATCAAGGAAAAATGATTTTAAAATTGGAAATAATAAATGTGTCAATCCCATTGCCTATTATCCATTCAAGACAACACTTCAACCAAAAACACGAATGCCTGGATTGAATCAAAAACCGATTAATACATGGGATTCAATTGTGAAAAAGGTGTGTAAGAATTATTTCCGTTCGATAGTAGTTTAAATGTGTGGTATATTTTTTATATCATAAAAACTCTGTAAAGAAAGATCTCGAAGGTGACAGTAATTCATTAACGTTATGAAACGAAGTAGTCATGAGTACAGTGAATTGTCATAGAATGAAAGATTCTTTCATGTATTTATGATTTCGCGGATAACCACAGTTCCTTAATGAAATTTATTATCAATAACATTTATTCTGAAATGAAACAGTGAACGCTATGATTTAGGGACAATTGTCAGTCGGTCACTTACAACGTAGAACTTCGTACGTACATATATCTGTTGAAGTTGCCATACCACATTAGCACAGAGACGTAACTGTCAATTCAAATCTCACAGTTATAGAGGTAGTAGAAGTATTAGCAGTAATTAGAGCTGCTAGCTTGACGTAGTGATCGGGCTTCCCTACCGTGATGATCCAACTGACCCATATTGGCAGGAACATATATTGCTTTAAGTCCTAACAGATCGGTTGGAGAACGATGAAACTAAAAACAGCTACTTAAGGTCTGAGGGCGAAGTTATACTGCTGACTGTAGAGGGATGCGACAACAGTAAGGTGTTTCTGTTGGACGACCAGCATCTGCAGAGATACTGCCTTCTCACAAGGAAGGAGGGGTTAGAAAAGGTAGACCCTAAAAATACCATACCTCACCTTACCTCATGGATTTCCATCTCCCGCGGTAAGGCCACTTGGAAAGCGAAGCAAACACTTTAAAAACTTCATATAAGAAGACCATGCGTGACCGGCCTCAAGCAGTTGTCCTTCGGGCTCTGGGGACACGCTCCCAGGTCTCAAAGGCCAATGCTAAACTGATCTCCTTTCGAGGTTACTGAAGAAACACCCTTCCACAGTGTAGGCAGCCGAGAAGTGACATCCGCCCATATACCTGTAAAAGCACACAAGGCCAAATCAGGGACAATTGTACAACTAAATTATACCTGATAATGATCTACAACTCGTTTCTTACTTGTTACATTAATATAACCACAGCAAGATATTATCTTGATCATATAACTAGTCTGTTAATAAAATGAAATCACTATCATTTTCTAACTTAATTATTCATTTTTTCTTCCAGCCTTTACCATTAATCTCTACTCATAAAACATTTTATCGTACAACAGCTACAAATCTGAATTCTACAACTCCTGTCACTGTTGCTGTCACTTGTACTACTAACTCAATAATAAATAATGTTGATTCACGAACTCATGCTCCAGTGACATTAATTAAACCAATTTTTTCAAATCATGCACAAATTGTTCAAAATAATCATAATCTACAACTTCATCCAACACATTCTAATTTAGCATTGACAACAATTTCAATGGGTTCACTAACCGGTAAAACTGCAGCAAATCATGGATTTTATAATTTATCTATTTCTATGCCCAATGTTGCCCAAACAATGACGCTGACTACAACTACTTCAACAGTAACAACTGCAACAACAACAACATCATCGTCATCTTCACTGGTATTGAATTCGTTAGAATCGACCAATCAAAATTATTACAAATCATTATTAAACTTATCATCATTTTCGCCATTACATATCCCGATACGTTTTATGCGCCAAAATACAGAGGATCATTCATTGAAACAACCATATAATCAATTAAATCAGAAATCTAAGACAACAATACATTTGCCTAATATTTAATAAAAAGATGAAATAAATATATATATACATCTTATTGTTTTCACCTTAATTTGTTTTCAGCTGCTGTTGTTTTTTCTTCATTTTATGATGGTATATATATATTTTTACTGATTTAGTCAAAGTTTGAGAGGAATGAAAATTTTTTAAATGGTCTCATACAATAGATAGAATGTGGTGAGCAATAAAATTCAAGCTATGCGATTCTTCCTCCGGAATATATCTACATTCTCCAGTTGATGATCATTCAGAGACATGAATCTAGAAGTGTTCATCTCATACACCATAACGTTTTCTATTTCGTTACTGAGTCCAGACGATAGCTCGAATCTGCGATACAGTAAAGCAGTGTACAGTGTAAAAAATAGTAGTAGTTTCGTTTCTTAAAAAAAACATAACCAAACGTCACTGATTGGTCATTAATTACGGAAATAGTAAAATTAGGAGATAACTATTTTCTGTAGTATCCTTCAGAACGAACATTTCCTACGCAATCTGTTTATATCAAAAACAGGCATATTACAGTATATAATATTTAGTAATGATCTATGTTGGTAGCAGTGTTACATTCTAGGCTTTTGTAAGGTAGAATCCTTTCAGAGAGACCTTAAGTAATCGATATTTACTGCAATTGAACGTATGATAATATCTGCAATGGTAAAGAGAGAAATCTTACATTTTTCTACTAACCATAGTATCATTTACAATAGTTATTCATAATTTTTCATACTGAGTTTATTTTTACTGGAAAATCAGTTAGGTAATAAAATCTCATTCAAGTAAATTACTTAACCTCAGTAGTCTAGTACATAAATATTACGAATGAACGTAAACATGTCTGTTTGATATGCTTGAACTATCAGGAGTTTACCTTAGTCGGAAAACGAGAGCGAGGATAGAGGATCTAAATGTCCCAACCCAATTGAGTGAAAGAAGACTTAATATTAAGTAGGACCTGTTTTCTACAGGTATCCAGAAAGTACGAGGTTCGAGTCCAGAAGAAGGCAAGGATCCCGGACTGAGGATCCGGTCCGGGTCTTAGAACGTTACTGATACATACATTTAGGTCGAATAGGAAACGACATCGAAGTGTGTGACATTGACATTTAAGGCGACCAATAGGAAACAACATTGAAGTACTTGACATTGACAGCTAGGACGACCATAATATTGACCAACAGGAATCGACCAATAGAAGTTGCACTGACAAAATGATTCTTCGTAGGATATTTGATGAATATCCGAACAATAAATGAGATTGGTGAAAATCTGCCAGGGTTATCAATAATGAAACAAAACTTGCTGTGGTGTTAGTATGAAGTAACATATTACACTGTCAATTCCCAAGTAATCATCAATGGTAACTCTACTAAATTCATAAATAATATAGGTCTGTAATTTTTTATGTATCAAGTAAGGTTAATACCTAAGTCACTAATACCAGTAGAATAAAAAGTCAATGAAATCAAAATAATTTACTGGAGTAGTTACAAACTCATCAGTGTGATTGATTTCCAATATGTATTCAAGAGAAAGTATCTGTAAGTTATTTGAATACAGGAAAAGCAAACCAGTCTTAACATGATTGACAAAGTTAACTCTGAAAATCAAATATATATTCATGAAATGTGTCACTGAATAAATTGGTCATCAAAAGATCAACAAAACAAACCCCTGTCTAGTCTTTTATTACGCACGAATCAGTTTAATTACTGAGCTAAATATTTTCACAGACAATCAGCCATCTCCTTTAAGACTGAGAGATTTACACTCACAGACTATGTGGTATTTATTTATTCCTCTGTGATAGTCGAATCCTGTCAACCATATCAACTATGCCCTCTTAACGCTGTCTGCACTATGCTCGAACGACACGTAGTTGGAGGTAGTAAGTATTATGTTCTGGTACTGGATCATGTGTTCGTGATAATTCTGTTAGTAATGCGGGTTACATAAATGCGATATACGTACCTGTTTAGTGATGAGTCACTAGAGAAGATTGTTCTTATTTTTGAACGCATTGCCGAATCAGAATTTCGATCGATAAAAGACTGTCCTTCTTAGCTGAAAAGTTTATACCTTACTTCAAACCCATATGGATTACATTCACCAACTCGCCTTAATGGTTATCCAGTTAACTCAGTTCGCCGAATTTGGAAGGTTTTCGAAATTAGGCAGGGTAATAAAGGTATTTATCAGTTAAAAAATGGGACACATTAGAATGCTATTATCTCCTTAAAAACGGTTCTAGGGAAATGATATTTTGGTCACTACTTCACCTGCAGAAAACCGAATAAGTAGGCTTTCTCAAAACGTGACATGAGCAACTTATAAAGAATCTTTTCAATAGCAAGGTTTTGTATAGGTTGTAGAGTAGATTTCCCCTGGGACACGGAGAAAGCTTTCATTCAAGTGAACTGTAGAATTTACAGAAGTTGTGTTTATTTTGAGAAAGTTAACGGTATAAAGCTGCACCGAAATCAAAGATAATGAAGATAACATGTTTCCTAAAAACTTTTATTCTGTTTATCCATTAGAACGGTACCTTTTTCGGTGAGCTTAAAATTGCAAATATGAACAAATATTTTGTTTGATCTAAGGAATTTTTCGCACCATTGCACACAGATAAAAATTGATAGACTTCATAGTAACTTTTGCCGCTTTATTTCACTTGATTTATTCAAAAGTTACATTGAGTAAACAATAGGAATAATTTGTGTTTGATTGTCATATAGTAGGAGAAAGGATTTAATAAGATCGTTCAATGAACAATAATTTTGTCAGATCATATTTTACTAGATGAATCGGCTAAAAATTATTAACTCACTTATTTTGTTGATTTTGAGTCATTTCATATAAAAATATGGTATATGCAAAATTTTGTTTGAATGGATCTCTTGATATCTCACTAGCAGAGCAAAAATGATCTGTTCAGTGGATACTTTAAGTCAGGAGCTGTAATTTATCAACAGCTCACTGATCGAGATCGGCTACCCTAACGCACTCATAATGAAGTTTGTGTTTAGTGTAAAAAGGAAGCCGGAGACTTCAAACGTTCGAAAGAAGCCTTGAATTATTAAACGACAGTTCGACGGAGATGTGGTCTGCGATAATCCCCAGGACAGATTAACGAAAGTAATTAGTAGAACATTCTACTCAGCCAAACTTGCGTTGATCTTCTCAAGTCGATCAGCGATGTCTACCCAAATTAAGGATGAGTTACCTGAGTTGGTCTCCTCTATATGCATTTACGAATTCAGCTGATCCTATGGAGATAGCTATATCGGGCGTATTACCAGGCAACTTAACCGACGAATGAGTAAACATCTCCAAGCATAGTATTTGGAGGGCCAGATAAAAACAATACACAGTCCTATCCTGGCACATATGCTTGCTAATGGTCATATTGTAGATGAATCTAGATCGTTTCGAGTTATCTATCGTACACTTCGATCATTTCCCAATGGACTTCGATCCCGTCTCCTACACATAGCAGAAACCATAGGAATTCGTACATTCAACCCCCAATTTCTGTGTTCGGAAGAAATTCGTAACACACAAATCTATTCCGTGGCCGGATATGACTTAACTAACGTTTAAACAATTTTTTATTTTATTTTGTTATTATTAGCATTATTTTCACATCCTGTATTTGTTGGTAATTTTCTGCCTCTTTCCGTTTATATTCTTCACTATCTAATTATGTACACACTTCGTATTACATAATGTTTTGTAATGATTATTTTAAGTCTATTTATCCACATTTGACCTAATATTGACAAAACTTTTGTTATCCTGCGAGGTGCAGGAGTCGTGGATGCGCACTACTGATGAGTCCCATACCAGGACGAAACGGCCATCCAGTGCTTCCAAGTTTCTAATGGCGGTCTAACAATGATTGATTGATGATTTCGAATGTGTAAAAACACAAACCTCCAAAAGCTCTGCCTGAAAATGATTTTACTTTCCTTACTATTATTAGTACATCTGTCTTCCTACTTTCAACTTGTACTTTTACCTGTTATATGTAGTGACGTAATCTATTTCATTTTATGGTGATTATTGACTCAGATTGCCTTGATTGGTTTAACATTTTCATATACGAATTCGCATATGTATTAGAGTAAAGCCTGATGACGATCTAATGGAAAACAATATTGTTCGCTTATTATGTGTTGTTCTAACAGCAGATTAGATAAAAAGTTGACGTGTTATTTTTTAACGTGTACACTTCTATGTCTTGAGTTTATGAATATTCTAAACGTTTTCAGCAACTCTAGTCTGTCAATTTCGAGAGAAAATCCTTCCAGTACATAATTATCAGTTTGGGATAAGTGTCTTAGTTATTCTTTGATTTATATCGAAAATATTTTACAAAATTTTTTATTTCAATAGATTTTTATTCATAAAAAAAGTGAATTATCATTTGACTATGCTTAAATTTACTGTCTGCAAATTGGCTTCATTAATGTTTCTAAACAAATATGTTTGTAGAAAATTTTTGATTGCTGAAAGAATCTAAACAAACTTGCTGATTGAAAACAATGTTGGAAAGGCATAAAAAACAATTGTGATATTTATTCATTTAAATCACGTGCTAAGTACTTACTGAAATACTTAAATGAATTAAAATAATGAAAACGACATCCTATATTTTACTTGTAGTGAATATAATGTTTGTCTTATGACCAGATAATGATAATTGTTGTTGATTTTAACTAGCTAATACGAAAACAACCTTTGAGTGACTGAAATACAATAAGGACGGGAGACTTTCTACTACATACTTGAAGGACGGTACGGCAACCGAATAGGAAGAACAAAAACCAATGGCCAGAAGTTCGTTACTATATTCAAGGCACTAGTTTTTGTATGCGTGTAAAACCAGACCACGTCGCATCAACAAATGGAGAGTAACAACTATGCATGAAGGAGCCAGAAGTGGCAAAGAGTAGGGGAGATTGTAGGTAGGAATAAAAAATCGTTTGATAATAATTTAGGAGTCAATAGAAAGCTTCTGATACAAGGAATATAAACATACACCTGATAGCCTAGTTAATTAATAATTATGCATTTAAATTATATACGTCAGCAGTCCATAAATTAGTGGCCATACTTACTATTTACTTAAGTCTTCATCCGGATACAACAGTAATGTTTTTTTTAATTGAAGACAGAATACAGTATGAAATAATTTCATGAGGAATACATTTCTAGTTGAAATAAAATGATTTAAACATGCCATTGGAATAATGAATACTGACATTTATTTCCCATGATTTAAAAATAAATTCATGAATGCGGAAATATCAAAACTGTCACTGGTTTTCGGTGTATACTTCGGTTATTTAACAAGGAATATTGAATAATTTATTTATCAACTAACTGAAAATATGATTTACTTACTTTTTGTCTAACCTACACAAAAGGTATCTAAGATACTTAGCAACATCACAAACTTCCTATTGAAGTAAGAAATGTCTTATATGCGACCTTACTATACACACTCTATTCTAGAGTTTGTTCAGATTGATAAAGACGTTTAGAACGAATCTATCCTACAGCTTTTATCTATACAACTCATATTCAACAAACCAACTAAGACTGAAATGTAAACATTTGTATACCAGAAATTAGTAGTTTATTTGTAGTATTGGGAATTGGATGGTACAATAAAATAACTAGTTGGTCGGTGTGAGTTTTCCAAAAACTGAGAAAGAACTCATAATCATAGATAAAATCGTTTTTAAGAATTATACTACTAGTTAGTAGGCTGAGATAAGACATTAAATTTAAAACCATTGTAAACTCAGGATTTCGTTAGCAAAATAAATTCATTCTATTTCAAAGCTTTTCATCAGTTAGGATTTCACCCTCTCTCATTTCTTCTAACCGATTTCTTCAAGAGAAAATGATAACCTCAATCTTTAACATCACATTTCACAAAGCTTTCGTCTCAATGTAACTTTTTGAGTGGTTTTGAATATCCACCACAACGTCATTAATTCAAGTTCCTACCTGTTTTACTACTTGCTTTGAGGTGATGCAAGAACTTGAAATGGAATTAATTCATCTGACTCGGTAAATTATAAATTCTTTTCTTCATTTAAACTAATTGAACAAACTAAATACAAGACATTTTTTTTTAAAAGTAACGTTTGAATGATTCAAGTAAAATAATAGAGTTTGAATTTATATATAAAGCCATCCAACTCACTGCACTGAATTTCCCATTCAATAATGAGTTTTATGTTCCATTATTATTCAACAAAATAACCGGGTTATTATGTTACTAACTTCTTATGGTTTTATCATAGATAATCGTGTCCTTAAAACTTTGAATGATTCTTATTTATCGGCATTAAAAAATAATTCATAACCTCTTAATTAACGAGGTCTAATAATAGTTCTATTCTGATGATAATCTATTCTTTGAAGTGTTGTAGTTGTATGTGAGGAAAATATACATAAATGTGCACTAAGTAGTCTTGTACGTCCATTAATTTTAAATAACTAAACAAACTTCTTTTCATAATCGTATCTTCAAGTGTTTTATGATAATATTAGAATGTTGAGCGGTGAATGAGCCTGATAGCTTTGTTGTTTCTTGAAGACTGTCCAACAAACAATTAACTTTACAGAGTGTAACCCGTTATCATTTGTTGTTTTTGAATAAGCGTAACTGTCACTCAGTCACAATAAATCATTTCATCTCATAAGGTTTTCAGTGGAATGATGAACCCATTGTGTAAAGTCCTACGTTAGCACAGTAAATTAAAGGTTAGGCGGGTCCGTGCACTCAGAGTCGTAGATGAGCATTTGTGGAGAGTCTCGTATTAGAATACGGGTTCGCTATTCAGTGTTTTGAGGTTTTGTAAAGTGGTCTTGTATTGAACAGTTCATGAGTTTAATGAACGTCAAGAATATCCACAACCCTATACTGACCACAAAGCGTTTTTTCTTGATATGCATGAAACTATTATGAGTTTATTTGAGTCAATAAATGAGAACGAGGCAATGACCCAGTGATACGGTTGGCTACTCTGATCTGTCTTGATATGGAGTAGAGGGTGTATTCTAAAAACACCCAGAAAATTTAATGATCTCAAGCACTGCTGGAATTGTCATCAAAATGAATGAAAATAACAGATCGCACAAGGGATGTTTAAAGACTAAAGTTCGGGTATAAATGTGTGAATGCCAGTCCAGTAATGCCTAAGAAATGTTTAGGAGTTTCTTCATTACTTAATAAAGTAAACCATTATATGGAATTTATTTGGTATTTTTCATTGAATCAATATTACCTTTTCCTATGTACAAATACAATCAAGTTCCAATGAGGCTATAAAAATAAAACTGAACTTGATATCCTCTTATGCTAACTCGAATGGCAATGTATCTGTAGAACTTACTTTGTATAAGTATCATGAAAATGTGTGTGTTTTCGTTCTTCATTCACCTTTATTAAGCGAAAATATGTAATTAACCAGCTTGGCGAATTCATTATCAACTGTAAGAAAAACAGTGAAATGTCAATTTTTTTTGGCATTCCCTGAATAAAGCACACAAATCATGGAATATATATTCATAGTATTCAACCTAGTTCAAAGCGCGATGGTGTTATACTCGTCTCTAGATATGCTTAAAACTATTACGGGTTCACTTTATTCGAATAACGAGAACAAAACAATGAACCAGCGTTCAGCTAGGCTGCTATGAACCGATTGTCCCAATCGTACCAACAAGAGGTCTTGATATAGCGTAGAAAATGTATTCCACAAACACTCGTCTAGCACATAATGAATCCAAACACTCAAATTGCGTTTATTTATACTCTATAGAGACGTCCTTGGAACAGTCACAAGAATGGTACACTAAAATGACACAGTAACCAATCACAGCCAAGGATTTTCCTGGTGGGAAATGTAATCTCAAGGTCAACCGATCGGCCCATGAAGTATATCCAAAATACAGATATTTATCAAGCGAGTTATGTGGATTTAACATCCCCATTCATCCTAGTTCAAAGAGCGATGGTACTGATTTCAATAATACCGAGTCGTACTATAAAATGCTACATGATTTAATGTACTAGAATTTCGAATTGTTTTAAAAACATATACCTGGATGTATCTTGTTAAATCATTGGGAAATCAATACGAACAATGTGATTTTTAATTAATGATGGGCTAGAGAGGTACAGAACCACTCAGTGCAACAGTCAAGCTGTACCGGATGTTTAGACAAACAAAAAAAACACAATGGCGAATACCGTGGCAGTTTCAACAAACGAAATTGAACAGTGATGCATGAGAATAAAATTTACACGACATATCAAATAGATTATTTATTATTCAACAGAAAATTGAAACACACATTTATGTATATATAAATATATATAAATATTTATATGCAGCATGCATTAGTTCACTTAAAAAATACTTTTATGTTTAAAATAATAAAATTTAAAAAGAGAGAAAACCAAAAAAACATGTTGAATGCAGAGTAATAAAAAATATCAGAGTTTGTTTTTTTTTTCTTGAAATGTCAATTCATTTTCATCAATAATGATAAGGACTACAATAAAAATACATTAGTGATCTCCTGTAGTTTTTTTTTAATGCATTTGTTGCATTTTTTTAAAATTAAAATTCATTGTGAAGTTTAGTTAGGCACAAAATCCTCAGAGAATTTAAAACAAGAACTATCAATGAAACAAATGAAGATTTTGAACCGTGTAATAAAAAAAGTGAACAACCACGATAAAGTGAGAGAGAGTGAGACAGAGCAGAAAAACAGCCAGTTCACATGAAATCACAATGGGAAATTAAAACAACATTACAAAATGACTGATTATGTAGAATCACGCATTCAATGTTCATTATTAGTTGAGTAAACATTGTCACTTGATAGATGATGATGATGAGGTCTTGTAGTATTTTTGACTATGATTATGATCATTATCGGCGAGCTTAGACACACACACACGTATATGCATACCTACACATATCCGTCCGTATAAACAGACACACAAACACTAACACACATGAAAGTATACATTCGTAAGAATACATTTAGATCGAGAGTTTATTTATTCTGTTAGTAGAAAATTAAACACAGTGTACTACATACACATACACAAGTATACACACACACATAAACACACAAGACCAAACAGACATGCACCAAATCTGAAATATATTGACATACTTAAAAGACATTGATAATCGAATAAAACAGTGGAATTGAGCTTGATCATGTTACATTCATTTGCATAAAATTTCACGAATGTTAATTAGTGATAATAACAATAATCATAATAATAATCATAATCATAATAACGATAACAGTAATGATCATCACAATAACAACAACTAAGAGAATAACAACCGTAACAACATTAAAACACAAAACGTGATGGATACGGAGAAAAATCTAAATTTTGCGAATTGTTCAAATTATAATCGAAAATGGGAATGGGACAGGAAGGGAAGGAGAGGAATAGCATTTTGTGCAGCATTACAATATCTCTCTCTGTGTGTGTGTGATAATATTTACCAAACATGACATTTTTTCACAGGATTCATTGGTGATCCTGGAGGACAGTTGAATACTTTAGCAAAGTCTTCTGAATTTGTTATAGTACCAATTACTCTGGAAATAGAGAAAAAAATATGAATGAAATTATACTTGATAAGAGTTTTTATTGAAATCTAAATCAACTAAAAATGAAAATTTCAAATCCCTGTCATATGCAGGAAAAACATTGTGGAGTATTATTTGAATGTCACATAAAAGCTTCCATTATGATTGACTTGAAAGTATTGTGTCGGAAGAGCAGAGCAAGACAGTTGGTTCGTATCACCCTCGACCTTTGCAGCAGTGCCCATTCACGAACCACAAAGGGTTAATCCTTGAACCTTTTAGCTTGAACGCCAGAGCTGTAATATGTAGCTAATTATTCGAGATCAGACAATACATACTTGACAGCATTAATTGACCCTTAATGTAGTACGATCACTATCCAACGGAGTCAGTGGTCGCTTTTCTCATTTTGGATTCAGAGAGCACGACTGTTCATCACGGCACGATTGTACCAGTTGAAATCTATTTTGAAGCTAGCCATTTATCCTGAATTGTTTAGTTATTTGTACAGTGTGTCTAATAAAAAATATCAAGGTGAAAATGAGATATCAAATGACAAGAGAGCTAGAATAAAAAAATCTTTTGCTGCATTTTAATAAGGCCTAGATTTTGTATACTGAAATAAAAAAATTTTTTTTCACAAAATTCCGATTAAAAATGAATTACCTGTACTGTTCCACTGTATGCACATCAAAAAGTACAGTATTGAGAATTGATTGCGGGAGACTTTTGATGCACCATAACTAAAAGTTAGCAATAAATCGAGAATAAAATACTTTTACTACAATTTTGTACACCAATGTGTCTAATGTAATCATAAACCGTTGTCTAGAAGTACAAGGTATACAACCATAAAATGAACAAAATTCAATCCGGTAAAAAAATATATTAATTACTGCTCTTTTTATAACTGGGTACACTGTACATTTTTATTGACAATTGACCGTTACTCAGTACTAGTCAGTAAAAGTTACACATCAAAGTGTTTGATAATAAGCGGAGAATGCTAATAGCAACCATCGGATTTTTGAATAAAACAAGTTGAACTTGACACAGACAACTGCTACTCAGGAATTGTGTGTTTTTTTTTTCAAAAGCTTCTAGTAACTAGACTATGAAGTATGATCCGACACAACTGTTTCAAATAGCAATATACTTTACTGACTTATATAAAGGAATAAAATTTCAGGTTGTCGTTTTTATATGATTGAAATAAAAATGAGGCAAACGAATAAGACTAGGTACTCTTCAAAAAGTATATCAGCCCTATTTTCATTCACTTATTGACTGACGATAATGAATTATGTCTAATATTACAATTTCGAACGACTGATTAAATTGTGAATTTACCTGAAGATAAGGGTGACAGTGTCGTTTTCAAATCAACAAATTCACAGGTTTTCCACTACTTACTTACTACTTAGCCAGAGATATTTAGAAAATATGATGATTACTATTACTCAGCCTTACAGGTTATTCATCATGGATGTTATCTGCTTATAATGATTTTGTTTAGTTGTTCAGGTTAGTTTCGAACTCATCTACCATTGAATTTGTCTGAATTTGGAATGCGCTATTTATTAAACACTTCTTAATGAAGATAATAATACTCTTTTTGGTAATATTGCAATGAGTACTGACGTTTTTTGAGTTAATACAAGTCACTTCTTCAGAGCAAACAAGTTTAAATAGTTATAAGGAAACAAGACGGATTATGCTTAGTACGGTCAAAATCATAATAAGTCTGAACATGTTGATGTTATATCACAGTGATTCTGTGTAAGAGCTTAAAGTTTTATTTGTGTGCATGAAGAAGGTTAATAAAGAATATGTTATGTTATGAAGTAGTTAAGTTAATATAATAAAAATACGTATGCGTGTGTGTAGAATTGTGTAGATAATGAACTGAGTCAGTTGTGCTTATTCAGCTAAGCAGTTCAAGGCTGACAAAGGTAATATGAAAAGAACACAAATTCAGGTTTTTAGTCCAACTCGAACCATTTCAAATAGAATAAGAAGGTTATAAAAGCAACTCACCACAGCATTACTTATCATACAATAAACCGCTTGTTACAAACAACGAACATTTGTTGGCAGCTATGGTACCATTTAGAATCCTGAATCAATATCTTCTCCTAGTGTAAGGTCTCTATGCAGTGAATATACACGACCTCTGAAACCGTAGGTTTCATGGAGAGTGCAAAACCTATAAATCATCTTGCTAGAATCCGTTGGTATGGATTCCCAACACTAGTCACTGTTACTCGCTGAAGAAGAAATTACTTTGACATTCATGAGGAATCTCGCAACTACATAACTGATGAACAGATGATAAGGTGAACGAGTTGGTACTGCGCAAACTCTGATACTTAACTTACTAATGATATATAACACTCAGAAACTATGCTTTTAAGATACTCAAGTAAGTCATTTGTACACATTTTAATAACTCTCCAATTACCTACACTTCAGGGATAAAACCAAAGACGTCATATTTCTCAGGTATTTGAGTGAGGCTCCAGATTACAAGAAAGAGTTGTATTCATAATATTTCTAGTGGTAAACATATAATAAGAAATTATCTATTAAAAATAAATTTTAACTGCTTAAAATGGATCCACTGAAGCTGAAGATTTAGGTATTTATGAAGAGAGTACAGAAAAAAGGACGAAGTTGAAACAAGGAACCTGAATCATCCTTCAAACGCTGTTTTTAACTGATTTGTTCTTCTTAAGGTTTTGACCCAGTTTTGATGAATCTTGCTTAAATTAAATCCCGCAAGAGTAAAGGTTTGAACTCTATACAGACGCTGATTTATTTATTATTCCTAGTGTTCCAAGAATCATACAGTACGACAACATATAATCGAGAATCCAGAAGTGCAAATTCTACCGTTCAACTTTTGTGTGAACACATGTAAAGTTTATACTGAGTAACTATCAGATATTCACATCTTCGAAAGATGAATTGTTTCGATACACTACATCACTATGTCAATAACCACACTTAGATTTCATAGACAAATCCTATATCCATGAAATGAGATCTTAGCTTATGAACAATTAAAGCTTTCCAGATGCATGATTTATAGCTCAGACAAATGACCTAAAGAGTATGTCAACAGAGTTATACTACTTATCACTTGTCAGTAATCTACTGATTAATTATGTTTTTCTCGACTTCGACTAATCGATCATTGAGTTAAATGCAGAGATCCTTGAAATTTTTTTATTTATAACCATCTAGTTCACCATTGAACATTGATTCCTAATATTTATAGACCAATTTCAAAGAGTTAAATCCAATAAAGCAAGTAATCAAGGACCAACTGACTAATTCAAATCAGTAATAACCTACCTGAGCAAATCCAATGAAAAATAATTGATCTGGAGTGAAGTGTAATCCAGGCAAAATAGGTTTGTCAGAATACTTGGCCTCCAACTTCTTGAATGCCTAAAAAATTAAAGAAAATAAATATGATTGTAGCAAATGTTATCGGAATTAAAACGATTTGTAAATGATATTTAGAGCAGTATAGCTTAGATAGATATAACTTAAATGACCCGCCAGATCGTCAAACATTACAATTCATTATGAAGCTATCATGTTTAATGACGAAAGTGGAGAATAGATAAAATGTAATGACACTAAGTGCGTGAATAAATGATGAAACAAGGAATGAATGCATCTTCCTAACTGAAATCGGATTCAAACTATGGCATATATAATAAACTCCAACTACGAAACAACTTGTAAAACATAGTCAATAAATCCGCATCTAACTGACAACGAATAAATTCCTTAACCGATTTTGATAACTCCCTTTGGGTCACCAATAGGCAATATTTCTACTATTTATATATGTTAGTTAGAAATACATTTTCGGGTGGGTAGTGAGTAAACATGTTTTTATGTTCGTTACTAGGTACGCTTGAACCTATTACGAGTTCACCTTAGTTGATAAACGCGAACGAGACAATTACCTTGAATCCCAAACTGCAAAACAGAAGACTTGATAAGCATAGAAATTATATTCTACAACACCCAGCAATCACAATACAATCAAGCACACAACTCTCGTTTATTTATACATCATAGAAACGTCCTTGGGACAGTTACGGAAATAGCACACTAAAATACACAGCAGCCGATCACAGCAATGGATTTTCCTGGTGGGAAATGAAATCTCAAGGTCAACTGATCAGCCCATTCTCGCAAACGTGAAATCCAAAATAAGGCATTTATCACGCGAGTTCTTGGGATCTAACATCCCCAACACAACTGTAGTGCACAAACTTGAGCCGATGAAGATCTCTTGTCTCTTTAAGCGAATTGTTATCTGTAACTGACATTGGTCGTCGCCATTATTCAACTGACACTCTTGGTGTATGCGAGAAAGGTGTGAAGATACAGGTTTAGATATTTAGGAACAATACATACCTCCAACTTTGAAATTTATCATTTACAGACGTATGCTATTATCGAATAAACTGTCAGATTACACTCCTTAAAGTCACGAAATGATTTTAAATTTTTTTTAATCACAATCGTCATTATAAATAGCTATAATTAATCATAACGATTGAATTTCCCGAAATCTATGTTCATTTATTTTAATTAAATTTAATATTAAAAGAAGAAATTAGTAAGTAATGCGTTTATGTGAATCGGATTACATTTCATGGTCACGACAGCTCCTGTTCAAAATTTGTATTATTAACTGAAAGAAAACAATCGAATAAAAAAGGGCTTCGATGATTATTTTGTTCCTTGATCTTTGTACAGTGTCACAAATTGAATTAGGCCATTAAACATTCATTACTGAATACAGGCATAGTAGTCTAAAGATTAGCGTTTGAAGGTCCTAGATTCGATTAATGATAGGATCATCAATTCCGAATGGTTAGGAACTTCATACATCAGTTGAAAATCTGTCCAACGTCACTTGGTCTTAAATGGTTAGCTAGCTAGCAATGTTAATTTGTAAATAACTATATGCTTATTAGTTACTAGTTGTAATGTTTCTTCATTAAAATTGATGAACTAGAATTTCGAACAATTCACAGGTCAGATAGGTAACTGCAAGTATTAATGAGTCAAAGTAGCTTGTATCGGGTTTATCAGGAGAAGACTATGAATCCCCCTAGTTATTACAACTAGTCACTAATGAGTAAACAGAAGAGTAAGTAAGTGCATAAGTAAGTAAGTAAGTAAGAACTCTCTTAATTTGTATCCTGTTGTGCTATCATAGGTAATGAGTACGATTTTGTCGGAAGTAATAATACATTAGCATTTGTATGATAATAAAACGGACAAGATTTCTGAGAGACGAAACATTTGTTCCACTGTTTACTAATACGCCACATATCAACAGAACGTTAATGTACAAAGCTTACTTTATATGCTGCTTTAATACCTCCATTATCAGCAATGTTTTCGCCTAATGTCATTTTTCCATTAAGCTATCAAATAGGGAAAAAAATTGTAATAAAATAATAATCTATCATTATCATAGTTTAGAATTTCAAGAAGAAAAAACTAGCATACTATACATACTCAGTATGAGCATTTTGGTCGATCAGCATCATTATGTTGCAGCAGCCTGTCCACCCACCCACTGCGGATTATATGAACTAATTAAAAGTGAATATTTTATTATCGCCCAGAATTACTTCACTATTTGGACTTGTTAGTGAATATGTAAAAGTTTATTTAATATTCTGTAAGACACAGATACCAAGGTACTTGCGTAATTAAGACTGGAGCTCCAGAGGCATAGTAGGTCTCATCATATCTCTGTCCTACGAACAGTTTAGAAACTTCATTGAATAGTCATTATTTATGATAGTTTCAGTTAAGAGATCCAGGTCTCCAATAGTATGGCTAATACAAATACTTTTGATCTTATTGAATAAGCTCTTGATCAATCTACATAGTACTGATAAACTTCCTCTCTTCGTTGCATTGTATAAATATTAAAAGTGCCTAAATACTTGATTAAATAAAAATATATAATTAAAACACAAGTAACAAAATTATTGGTAAATAAAAACATAAATACTAGTTTGTATGTTAGAATATACTTACACTTGTATTAAGTATGGAATAATTACTATACTGATCGATCATACATTGTGAATTTTTTTCAAAAGCTGACAAAGTTTCTGCACTCCACCAGTCTCTCATGTTTCCTTTGGCATCGAACTTGGCACCTGTGTACGATAAAAGTGTATGATAAAAGTTAGTTTCAATATGAGGCATACGAGTTATGGCTATTGTGATACATTTAAAATCAAATGACATCCAAAGGAATTCAATCACGACTGTTAGGTATTTTCAAAAAAGGTTTTTCACACATCTCACATCTGTTGCTTATCGAGTCAAAACAGAAAAAATCTCGAGTTGTGTTGTTTGTGACGATTTTATTTTATCAAAAGATAATAATAATGGTGACTGACAACATAGGAAAAAATGTCGAAAGCCAGGATACATCAAACATCTGTTATGTCTTTCTTTGAGATTATTTTCCAGCGTGAGCGATCACGACGAATCCGGTTCCTAACTGACATTCAGTCAGTTAGTTGGGATCCCATGCAGGGCATATTTGAATTTTTGTTTTGGTGTAATCTTCCGACGTTATTAGTGATGAAGACACCTCACACTCCACTCAATTAAGGCTTTTCACCAGGATATCATTAGACTAATTTCATAGCATTTCGCTGGTATGGTATGTACTTGTTCACTATTAAAAATGCCCAGATTGAAATAAAACAAATTAACTTGGTGTTCCCTAGTTTCCAGTCTATGCTGAAAAATACCACCAATAAATATTTCAAAAAATTTCATAAATCTTTTAAATTTTCGTTAATTTCCAATCGTCTGTGAATGTCTAGTTATAAAAGGGCGAAATTATCTATTTTATACTTTCAGTCTAACCTTTTCTATGATTAACTGATTAGTGTAGAAGTAATTCTTTGCTTTCCAATACGATATGAAGATGAACATAAATATGTATGCGCAGTATTTAATAACTGACCCCTCTAATTGTTTAGAATTGTTAGTATTTCTGAACATACCTATCACCTGTTATGTAATGGTTGATCTTTGAAGCAATTAAATTATTATATTTGCAATGAATAACATAATGGTTAGTAATACTTCTGGTAAAATATGCTTGGTGATAAGTCCATGATGAAGACAGTGTTAACGTATAAAAGAATTTCTCGATTTTATGAAATAAACAGTAATTCTATCAAGTTGATTTAAACAAAATAAATAGTTTATGAAAAACATTTTTGAAACATTGATGACAAATGGTTTGCCAAAACGAGAATACATATAAGATTCGTAAAACGCAAAGATTACTCCAAAATGGAGAAGGATAGTTTCATGAAAAGTATATTTATTGTATATTTTATTCTCAGCAGCCGTAACGATGATTTTGAAGTTCTTTTTTTGTGCTGAACACATCATTTACACTTGGAGAGAACTTCATAATCGAAGAATGATATGCTGAAGATTGTAAAGAGTCTGTAATTAACTTACATATCGATAAGTGACAAAAGAATGGCACAGTGGTTATTAGCATTAACTCAGATTATCTCAAGAACCATTAGTCTAAACAAAACTACAGGTACACTGTCATTCCGATATACTGAAATGCAGGAAATGTAGCTCTATGTGAACCCGTAAACCGAAATAACGGTTTAAGCAGTGTAAAAACAAATAAAAGTAAGTAGCTGCATAACATAGACATACATGTCTTAACTGTAAAACGTTTTTAGAATCTTTATGGCTTATGATACTGAAAAATGCAAAATTATTATTTCCCCAGTTGCAACTTCTTATCTAACGTAAACGTAATATCTAACGGAGATTTAAAATTATATCGCATTCCGTACTTAAAATCGTCTTAGATTTCGCTCCATGATTTCCATTGCTAGTTTGGATGTGTTTGATCATTTAGGAACTCTCATTGTTGAACCAATAAATTGATGAAAAGCCCACGTCTTCCTAAATATTTCCCTAGTTTCAGTAAGGAAAGAAAAAAAACTATTTATTTATAACTCCTGTCTCGTGACAATGTCTGACACTGATTTCAAAACATCATCTAATTTTTTTTCTTGTTTTGTTTTTTAGGTTGAAAATGATCATCAACCTTTGTCCAGCTCAAAATGTGCAAACACTTTGAAGATGTGCACTGCACGTTTTTTGCAGTACACTTTTTTTCTCACACAAATAAATTCGCAAACAAAACTGTTTCATGTTAAATTTTAACTCATTTATCAAAATAATATTGGGTAAGTGTGTAGTTGTGCCACTGACATTTCATTTTATACAGCTAATGAAAAAAAAAACAGTGGCATGTAATTGTTTGTTTGTTTGATTTTTTCTATTTTTCAAATGAATTATGCAAGTTGTAAAACTATTTATTGAAACTTATTAGAAATGATGAAACAGCTGTTTGTTCTTGTTAATGGACAGGCCATCATCATCGCTTTAGTAGTAAAAAGTGTGTATTGCAAAAGTTTACATTGATACTTTTAAAGATATTGTTAGTGTTTTTAATTTTTCAGTGAAGTGAATTTTATTTAGTTGCATGGATATATTATTACAGACTAATCTACTTAATAATATTTGATTGTTATTTCAGAAAATAACAAAAAAAAATGCATTTTTATGAAATAGACATCAGTTTCAAGCAATTTACACAAGTGTGTATATATATTTTAGCAATAAAAATTATGTGCTTCGAAATTGTTCGCATACATGATAAGTGAACAGATGCTAATCAAAATTTCATTGGGTGTTTCTTGAAACATCTTGTTCATTTCACAGTCATTTCATTAGTACTAAATATTCCATTCAATCAATCAGTTACAACAATGGAACTTCGTACGTAAGTACATCAGTTCAGTTTTGCCATACCACATTCGCATGGAGATGCAATTGTCAATTCGGTTCCCATAGTGGTGGTGGTAAAGGAGAAGATTAAGATAATATTCAAGAAATATTATTGAGATAAGGTTAGGAAGACAAAGGTAGAGGTGTTGATGAATCCAAAAGATTAGAATTAGAGAGAACACAAAGGGTGGATGCACCTGCGCCATTGTAAACGATTTTGAGCCATGCCATTAAAGGTCTCTAACCATCGATGACTTTCGTCTCGTGGACCCCTATCAGGTAGCCTACATCTACCAACATGACCCGGACCACTTGTCAATGACTTCATTGTTCTAACAGTAAACAGTCAAGTTTACTTTTACTAGTGAACTATATTAGTCAAGTTATGACTTTTATTATCAAAGATGAAACTTGGACATGTAAGAATTAATTATAATGTCAGTTAGTTTCTTTACATTTCAATAATTAACTCTATGTAAATTGCTGATCAGGTATAAATTGAAGAATTTTAGACAATCATCAAATAAACACACTGCTTTCTGATTTACAGTATTTTAATAACTGATTTTAAGTCATGATGAAATATAGCTTCAAGCTAGAAAAAAAGCATCTACAAGTCAGTACTCTTAGTTAACCAATTCATTTATTTTATTTCTTATTCATGCAGAAACAGAATCTTGCCAGAATCAGAATATTAGGTAACACTACACATCAAAGGAAGTTAGCAAATGTAAACGCTGCATACCGGACCTAAGCGTATTGTTCAGTGAAAGATTAGTTAGTATATTAACTAATATCGTAGTACTTCAGTACTGTCTACGTTTTAAAATGGTACCTTACGTCTAAAATCTACATTCGACAAGACTTGCAAGTTGGCTGTCAAGTTAAACTTTAATTGTCTGAGTCATAATTATGGAGCAATTTAAATCAAATGTTCCCGGGTTTCAATATTGTATAATCTAAGGCAGTCAACGATGTAAATTATCTTCTGATTAAGTGACCTTTACAGTATTTTCATCCAACTTACTGGTTAGCAACAGGAAGAAGAGTTTCAAAGATTCCTAATCTATGATCGGCAAAGTTCTAACATGATGAGAGCACGACTATGATAGTTACACAGTCATATGAACTAATTAGGTTTTAAAATGTCACTTTTCGGATACCAAAACATGTCTCACAATGATGTATAAAACTCTCTGGTTTAGTCGTCCTAGAACTATTAGAATGTATCATTCTAGGACGATTTGGTAGTCTAGCGTTACTTGGTTTTTAGTTTTCCGTTTCTCAATTACGTAGGTGATGTGGAGCCTCTTCAAAAAAACCTGTCATTATAAACATATCATACTAATTTCAATTTAATCTTGGCCGACTGGGATTCATTTTATTTTTTACACAACGTTTCTTATATCAGGGAAAATTCATTATCTGTATAGAAATTTTCGAAAATGTCATAAATAAAATTCAGCGATCCGTTTCTATTTACAAAAATATCAGGTTCGATAAATACTTATATGGAGTCTAAAAGCTTAGCGTTAGCACTATATAGTTGATCAATAAAAATTTTTCATCTTCAAGGATAAAATGATGTTTTTTCATTAAAACGGAAATGATACTTTGTGAACTAGAATTTCGAACAATTCAGAAGTCAGATAGGTAACTGCAAGTATTAATGAGTCAAGGTAGCTTGTATCGGGTTTATCTAGAGAAGAATATGAGTTCCTCTAATTATTACAACTAGTCACTAATAAGTAAGTAAGTAAGTAAGTAAGTAAGTAAGTAAGTAAGTAAGTAAGTAAGTAAGTAAGTAAGTAAGTAAGTAAGTAAGTAAGTAAGTAAGTAAGTAAGTAAGTAAGTAAGTAAGTAGTAAGTAAGTAAGTAAGTAAGTAAGTAAGTAAGTAAGTAAGTAAGTAAGTAAGTAAGTAAGTAAGTAAGTAAGTAAGTAAGTAAGTAAGTAAGTAAGTAAGTAAGTAAGTAAGTAAGTAAGTAAGTAAGTAAGTAAGTAAGTAAGTAAGTAAGTAAGTAAGTAAGTAAGTAAGTAAGTAAGTAAGTAAGTAAGTAAGTAAGTAAGTAAGTAAGTAAGTAAGTAAGTAAGTAAGTAAGTAAGTAAGTAAGTAAGTAAGTAAGTAAGTAAGTAAGTAAGTAAGTAAGTAAGTAAGTAAGTAAGTAAGTAAGTAAGTAAGTAAGTAAGTAAGTAAGTAAGTAAGTAAGTAAGTAAGTAAGTAAGTAAGTAAGTAAGTAAGTAAGTAAGTAAGTAAGTAAGTAAGTAAGTAAGTAAGTAAGTAAGTAAGTAAGTAAGTAAGTAAGTAAGTAAGTAAGTAAGTAAGTAAGTAAGTAAGTAAGTAAGTAAGTAAGTAAGTAAGTAAGTAAGTAAGTAAGTAAGTAAGTAAGTAAGTAAGTAAGTAAGTAAGTAAGTAAGTAAGTAAGTAAGTAAGTAAGTAAGTAAGTAAGTAAGTAAGTAAGTAAGTAAGTAAGTAAGTAAGTAAGTAAGTAAGTAAGTAAGTAAGTAAGTAAGTATGTAAGTAAGTAAGTAAGCAAGTAAGTAAGTAGGTAAGTAAGAACTCTCCTAATTTGTATACTGTTAAGCCACTGACATAAATTACTAACTTTATCTTTTTATAACTAGTTAAGATATTCAATTGTATGTAAATTCGTTGCACAATAGTGTTTGAATATAAAAATTATTTATGGCACCAACGTATCAGTAAGATAGATTATCAAACTTGATTATACGCAAACTCTGTACGGGATTATAAAGTAGCTCTCACACGGTCAACATTACAATATTTGCGTAAATGCGTTTTGAATTTTTCAAAATGGATGTCTTCTATATATCCATTGAGAAGCATTACATTTCACATATATGTCTGTACATAATACTCAGTGTCATTCATATAAAACCTAAATAACTGAATATTATTTCTGTTGTTTAATAAATAAACTCGTACAAACCAATACAAAGAATCTAAATTATCATTGTTATACAACTAACCGTGTTGATCAAATGCATGCGTGATTTCATGTCCTACAACCATGCCGATTCCACCGAAATTTAATGATAACGGTTGTTCATGATGATACAATGGACTTTGAAGTATACCAGCAGGGAAATAAATATGATTTGAATTTTCCTTATAATATGCATTTACAATGTGGACTGGTAACGACCATCTAAAAATGAATAGATAAATACGAAGAAAAAAATTACTTTTAGGTGCCGGCGGGGGGCAGATTTTTAAAACATATTTGTAATTTTATTTAGAGCTTGTCAGCTGATTAGAAATTCACACGTATCAACGGAAAAACCCAAAGACGTTTTAAAGTAGGTTACTGAATTAATTTTAACGGCTAGTGCTAATACATGGCTGTCTAATCGGGAGTCTATGTAGTGGGACTTGAAATTACGTAGCTTAATCTGGTTTACACACATAGTTTAACATATCAATGAAGACTGGTTAGCCTTATCTTGAGTATTAACAACCAGAAGCGTACCAGCTTTGTTTAACTCAGTGAATTTAACTATACTTTCATCCTTCAATCCATATCTGAATAACACTCCTTCGAATTTGATCTGAGCAAATTCGTAGTACCTTTAGCCATCACACGAACAGTATAGCTTAACTGAAGATGCATAACCGTTGTTTTACGAACGGGTGACTTAAAGTAGAAACCTGTAATTTAGTAGCCTGATTATTAATGAGATAGTTCGTAGAGTAATGAGTCGTTCGAATATTTTGGAGAGAAGAAAAATTTAAACTTTTGTTACTACTATAGACTATATCGATTGAAGGATTACAAGCTGGACAAAATAGAATTATGTATTTTGTTTAAAATATCAACTAGTTTATATTTATGGTTGATTTTTTTCAAATTTTGTTACAAGAAATTTTTATCCGAATATATATACAGATATATATTCTTTGATAATTTTATCTTGTTACTGACAAAATGTTATTTATCATTTCACAAAATACTGAACTTCACTGAAACAAACAACTACCTTTTAAATCCGTGAATCAAACTAGTTAATTTTTTAAAAATGAATTATTGTTAAATCTGACTTGTTTGGCGAAAAATTTAACACATTTTGAATTTGAATGCAATCATCAATATATATTTCAGTTTAGTCAGATCGTTAAAATCAATTTTATCAAATACGCGTTAATTTAACTGACTTAGTAATTTTTGCTGAAACCGAAGTTGACATCGAATAGTTCAAATCTTTGAGCTATTAGTTGAAAGCTTGGTTGGTCGCTTCTAATTAAATCCCGAATATTGTTGGATATTAGTTTTCAATATCTTAGATAGTTGGAAGTAGTCAACAAGAAATCCTAGACCTAGGTTTCATGCCTTTTGAAGTTCGTCAGGAAGGTGTACTTGTAAACATGAAACACTTAACTAGACAGTTAAAGTATGATTATGTGAATGTCAATATTCCATTATATCACAAATTATATATTATGATGTTGATAAATTCAGAACAGTTGTCAACTGTTAGCCAAATAAGAAGACTCTAAGATATGCAGTACTCAATACTACTGAAATGCATCATTCAGACCTCTACATGTTAGGTAATCAAACTAAGTGCAATCAAAAGTTCACAATGATTCACATTGTAATTCCACAATAAATGTTAGTAAGTGTTGTTTAAATTACATTCCTTCTTAAGTGAATATTTTCTGTAATGAAGAAATTGTGTTTTGCATTGGTAGGTTAATATCATTGATTGATTCTGGTCTTTTTGATAGTTCACGGTTGTGAAAACCTCCTGAAGGAATAGTAATTTCGAACGTCAAAGTGACATAAATATATTAATTATTGATACAGGGTTGTGAAGACTGTTAAGTTACAGATTTTTTAGACCATGAATCGATCAATGTTGGACCACCTTCAGAAACCTGGAAGCACTGGACGGTAATTTCGTTCTGGTATGGGACTCATCAGCAGTGCACATCCACGACTCCTGCGCCCCGTAGGATTCTAACCCGAAACCTTCGCTATTGTGCGCAAACGCCTAACCTCTGGACCACTGAGCTGATACCTAACGGTGTTAATGTCTAACTTCGATCAGTTCACGGAGTTGCTCAACCTCATACACAGTCTTCGGTAGTTACTGTCTACGCCCGAACAGGTTGAACTTCATAGGTCACGTCTTCAATCATTTCAAATATTATCTTGAATATTCTACAATATCCCCCCTTATAAACATTTGCTATCAAGCTAAAATATTGTGTATGTTTCCTCGTTTCATATTCGCGATAAGTTATAATTCACTAGTATCATACATAACAATGTACTGGGAGAATATAAAATTGTATTGATTAATGGAAACCTACATTGAATGGTATCAAACCCAAACGTCGAATAAACTATCTAACATCAACAAAAGTTCATGCAAGAACCAAGAGGACAGACATACAGATACAACGCAGAACTTCGTACGTAACGTAAGTAAATCAGTTCAGGTTGACATACCACATCAGCACACAGACGAAACTGTCAGTTCAAATCCAAGAGTGATAGCGATAGTAGAATTATTAGCAGTAATGGAGAAGATTAGTGAGCAAAGATATGATTCGAGAAGTATAATTCAGTGAGATAAATTTAGAAGGAGAAAGATAGAGATTATGAGGAATTCAGAAGGTTAGAACTAAAAAGCACACAGAGAGTGAATGCACCTGCGCCATTGCAAACGATTTCGAGTTATGTTATTCAAGGTCTCTAACCATTGGTGACTTTCGTCTCGCGGACCCAAACCAGCTAGTCTACATTTACCAACATGACTCAGTCCACTTGTCATAGACTTCATGGATTTGTGCCATGTTTTGGTTTTGCCGCCCCTAGCTTTCTTCCAGTCTATTCCTACACTACAAAACACAGCTCGTCGTGGCAGTTGGTGGTTAGCCATACGTAACACATGTCCCAACCACCTCAACTGATGAATTTTCAATGCTTCATCTATTGATTTGCCGTCCCTACCTAGAACTCGTTTCCTAACGACAGCATCGCTTATACGGTTGTCCCATGATTAACGATCAATGCTTCGGATACACCTATGATCGAAGACTGGTAACCTAAGAAAGTCCTCTACTCTTAACGGCCAAGTCTCGCATCCGTACAGTAGGACGGAGCGAACTGCTGCGCAGTACACTCGTCCTTCGGTTAGCAAACACATATCTCACTTGCGCTATAGAATACGCGGGTTGGCAAAAGCCAATCGAGCCTTCTGTATCCGTGCTGAGATTTGGTCAAGAACCAAGAGGAATTAGTTTTAAACTGGTACTTGTTATTCTAACAGTTGTACAACTTATATCAATTCATAAAATACCCTAGTATAAATAAATAATCAATACTTAATTTGGCTGAATCACTGAATTTAAATCATTTGAAGATTTAAATGGTCGATTAGTGAGAATTTAAATTATTCTTTGATAGACGTTTTTATCAACACTTCGTGAGATATTCCATCCTCATTCATCACTTACTACAAAAAGGCTTTTTGGTAAACATGTATGATAGTCAGAAAACAACTTATTTTTTGACAAAAGAAATATTTATTTAGATATTTATTCGCGTGTTTATAACTATTTAAGCTTGGGCGATACTTAAACACACGCAGCTTAATCTCAATGAGTTTAGGATTTTTTCATTTTTTAATTTCATCCACATTCATTTATCGATTAACTCATACTTATAGTCAACAACAATGAATCGCCTAGATAATATGAACTAGTGTGGTATATAGACATATAGACATATTTATTTGTATTTGCATGTAAGCCTAGCACGCACTCTATTAAAGTCCTATACTATGGACGAAATAGCCGTCCAGTGCATCCAGGTTTCGAAGGATGCTCTAACAATGATTGACTGATGATTCTAATGAAAAAAACAACCATCTCCGTAACATCATGATGAATATTTGTTTGTATTTGAATGTAAAGAAAATAAATTCGATATTATCCTATCGTTCTAGAATGTATTTGTTACTGAAATGCATAGAATAATATGACTTTCATAAGTGTACTTCATCCCATTTATTTCTTGTTCTATAATACGGTCAAAATAAGACTATAAAATTGCACAGCCTTTATCATACTATCTATTTTTTTGCCAATTGTAATCTATACATAATTTGTGTGTTTTTTTAATTCTAACGTATCTTTCTCTTTCTAACTTTATCTCACTGAATTATACTTTCCAAATCATATCTTCGCTACCTAATCTTCTCCATTGCTGCTAATAATTCTACTATCGCTATCACTCTTGGATTTGAACTGACAGTTACGTCTCTGTGCTGACGTGGTATGGCAACCTGAACTGATGTACTTACGTACGAAGTTCTGCGTTGTATCTATCTGTCTCTCTATTTGTTAAAGTTACATTTTTTTATTGCGCATAGTATTTCATAACATTCTCTATGTAAAAAATAAATTTATTCGAATACGATCAAATGTCTTCATTAAATACTAAACTATAACGCCTTACCAGCCTTAAATTATAGACTGATCAAAGTTGATATTGTCCTAATAAATGTTTTTGCGTTCAAACGACTATTTGGAATTTCCAAAACTTTGAAGTAATATGAAAATTGTATCATTAAACCTTGATCATGGAATTTACAGATTATTTTACTCGTTTTTTTAGGTTAAATTCTTTATGTAAGAGCTACTATTCATTTGCCCGAACTAAGGCAAGAGTACTTAGGTTAGAATCTACAAGCAAATATTATTAAAAGCTAAATAAATTTAATAAATAGGCTATGGTTGTCATCCATAGGACTGATTATGTCCGTAAACAAAAATCATCATTCTCAATCCAGTGAACTTTATGCAATGACAAAAAGAGAGAATAAGAGAGAGAGAGAGAGAGAAATAAACTCTTACGCACTTGTCCGGGTCCTGAACGATCAATTCTCGTAGAATTTCAAGAAACAATGCTTCAGAACAGTATAATGCATTTTCAAAATAAGTTGATTCATTCAAATCAGCCTGTGACACACACAAAATAAAATAACAAGAATAATTTACATACGTCTAATTGGCGAAAAACATTTTTTTTTAAAATTAGGTATAAAATAAATGTTACTAAAATAAATAATTTGCTCAAGTTGCTTTTTGCATGACATTATCATTTTTAAAAAAATGCCAACACAATAAATGAAATTCATAAAAATTAGGCTTTCTAAGTAAGAATATAATTTTAAGGACGTTGTTTTCTTTCTGTAAATTTTGTTGTTAATTCTCTCGGGGAATTTCCGCTGCCGCTATCTATTCGATTATGATATCTGTCTATCAATATCAAAAGTAATATGGTTAGTTGGTGTAAAGAAGTGTAAAGAAATTTTTAAATGTTCAATGTTCGCTTTTTGTGATTCGTCTATATTTGTAAGAATTTTCATGATGACATACATGAACTAGCGTTTATCATCGATTCGCTTATCAAAAAGAGGATCACTTGATTAGTTTGTGTCTAGTCACTGATGATTTTGAAGAAGAAATGACAATCTAAAAGTTATCATTTGACTAGATACTATTTTACTACCATAGTAAATGTAAATTTTTTTTATATTACGTCATCCTCATTTCACTTTTAATGTTTTTCTATCTGTAGACGGACGAAACAGTGCACTGCTTTTTTTCAATTAGAGTTGTGGAGATTAGTGTTTCTACGCCTTTGATATCATCCAGAGGTTACGCGTTCGTGCACAAGACCGAAGGTCCCGAGCTCGAATCTTGCGAGGTGCAGGAGTAGTGGATTCGCACTGCTGATGAGCCCCATACCAGGACGAAACGGCCGTTCGGTGCTTCCAGGTTACTAATGGTGGTCTAACAATGATTGAATGATGATTTAAAATATGTAAATAAGTTTTTGTCTGAAAAATGGATGTACTCCAATTTTATCTTATTATTATTCATTAAGATCTTCTATTCTTAGCTTTGTTTTATTTTAAACATTTTTTAGATAGTTTCGAATAACGAAGAAAGAAAGCAATAGTTTTACAATTAAGTGTATCATTTTAAGCAGACCAATTGGGAATAATATCTATTAAGTGTCGAAGTATTTTAGAGCAATATTTGAGCGAAATTTCCTAATTCCCCCAATTAATGTTCCAATGAGATGATACAGTAGTTATGCTGTGATTATCAGTAATTATCAAACGATTTCGAACAAAACCTGCTCGGCTGTTTGAACGAAAACTATATAACAGACAAGAACCGTGTGAGAACCTCTGTATTAAAAAATAAATCACACCCGAGATCCATTTGTCTCATTTTTTCGGTGATATAACTCTTTCAGCAATAAAAATGATAGACAAGCATCCAGAACTCGCAAATACGATACACTGGAAACGCTTGTAATTGTACTCAAAAAACTTGATCATCTCATTTGAAACTAGATAGTTATTTTCTTGAAGAAATACTCCATACTTATGTGGTTGACTTTGAATAACACTTTTGCTGTAAAGGATGCTCATGATATAAGACGTTTCTATGAATAGACTTAGGTAGAATGGGAAATAAATCAACGAGTTATCGATTCAGAGCGCAGTGGTTTATTTGGTAACACTGCTTTATCAGTTGTCCAAAATAATTTCGCAAACCACTTTTAACAAACTAAATATTGACATCAAGTTCAGTCAGAACAACTAATGCTTTATGATAACTAGATTAGAAAAGATATTAGAGTGTTTGTATAAAAAGTCACAATCTTGCAAGAGGTTCATCTAAACATCGAAGTTTTAACTTTATCTGCTTATATTTTACAGTCACTGACAAGTGAACTGAGTCATGTTGGTAAATGTAGACTACCTGGTTGGGGTCCGCGAGACGAAAGCCACCGATGGTTAGATACCTTCAACGATATGGCTCAAAATCGTTTGCAATGGCGCAGGTGCATTCACTCTCTGTGTGCTTTTTTAGTTCTAACCTTCTGAATTCCTCATAATCTCTATCTTTCTCCTTCTAAATTTATCTCACTGAATTGTACTCCTCGAATCATATCTTTGCTCCCTAATCTTCTCCATTACTGCTAATACTTCTATTACTGCTATCACTCTTGGATTTGAACTGACAGTTTCGTCTGTGTGCTGATGTGGTATGTCAACCTGAACTGATTTACTTACGTTACGTACGAAGTTCTGCGTTGTATCTGTCTGTCTATTTTACAGACAAAAGGGATGGTGATTTCTACACTTGTAAATTCATTATACACATAGTGAATGTAAAAGTGTCAATGAATAAAAAAACAAACCCAGTAAATTATTGATTGCATAAACTTACAAAATATGAAAACTCTCTGTTTTCATCGTCTATATTATCAATATTATTTGGATAACCAACGGAAGCTTTCATTGAATCCACCTGATAGTAGTTGAATTTCGATAAAATATCTAGATAAGATTTTCTGAAATTAATTTGTATCATACCTTTTCAATTGCCTTTCGTTTGTCAGCTTCTGCCATCCATTCGACACTAGCGAAATTCTCTTTGAAAGCCTCCTTAATTTCCGTGATCATTTCAGTAGCCTATATTTAAAAAAGGAAATAATGATGATCAATGCCACTGTTGATGGGAGGTAAGCATGTTGTTGACAATGTTAGAAACAGATCAGATTCACTCATCATAGTATAAATGTTATAATGTAACTAAAATGCTTCTCTGGACAAGGCTTGAAAAGATGCTAATCACTTATCGCATTAAAATTTAAGCATATTAGTCTAATGAAGAATTCAACCGGTGCTGTTAGAGACATAAATTTCACAGTTATCAATTTTTTCGGTATGATGGTTTCACCAACAACCCTCGAGCAACCAGTTTCTAGACATTTGAAATCATCAATCAATCATTGTTAGACCACCATTAGAAACCTGGAAGCACTGGACGGCCGTCTCGTCCTTGTATGGGACTCATCAGCAGTGAGTATCCACGACTCCTGCACCTCGCACGATTCGAACCCGGGACCTTCGACATTGTGCGCGAACACTGTTGGATGCCTACCCAGTGGTCCAGTGGTTAGGCGCACGCGCACAATACCGAATGTCCCAGTTTCGAATCCTGCAAGGTGCATGAGTCGTGTATACGCACTGCTGATGAGTCCCATACCATGACGAGATGGCCGTCCAGTGCTTCCAGGTTACTAATGGTGGTCTAAAAATCATTGATCGATGACTTAAAATGTTTAGATATGTCCAAAAACTCTAACTGAATATAAGTTTCGATGCTGTATCAAACTAATCACTTAGTAAGGATTATCAACTACGAATGATAGTACATTATAAATGAATTATATTGTCCATCTCGGTTGCTTTTTAAAATAATCCATATTTTCAATCTCGTCTGTGAAGTAAATAAGACACTAAAACCTGATTGATGCGAAATAGTTTTCAAGGGAAAGAGATCGAACAAATAAGCAATAAAACTAAGAAATGGCGCAATATGTAGCTCAAATCCGATCCATTTCCACTTAAATGAAGGTAAGCGGGATAATAGAGTAAATGCTGTTTAGCTACACCTGTCCAATGAAATATTATTCAGATTGAAGTAAAAATGCATTCAGTAAGATAAAAGTCTTTCAAAAATAATTTGTTGAATAATCCAATATTTATATAAGCTTCAGAAATATCACAAATATATTGATTATATTCTGGAGGTAAGCTTCCCATCCTTTATGTGGTTTTACAGAGATTTCTATTCATCTACGACTATATTAATCAACATAAAAATTGATTACAGAACGAGGTCTAAGTTGAATTAAAGTTTTCAACGATATTCAAACTTTTTTGTGTTACTCTCCACGAGGATTCCGAACAGTTAAAACTACCAATGATGATGTAACATGCGCAACGTCAATGATTGAAAATGATCTAATGTTATAATGCCTAAATAAAAATGCTTGCTCTTATTTTACTTAATTGAGAAGATTACTACTAACAGTTGATTGCTTTGGCAATTATTTTCTGCCGAATCGGGTTACTTGATTTCACACAGTTTATTAAAGATTTTCTAAAAAGTCACTTTCATCTGGTTTTATACTGGTAGGAAATCTGTCATTTTGGTTCATCAACAGACAAAAACATAAATTCAACTTCTTCAACGAACACAAGTAGTGATTTTATAAATTTGTAGTGTATTATCTTCCAGATACTTTCTTGCTCTACAACATATAACTTGTCCTGATCATCGTTATTAGATAACTAGCACAGCTGTACAAGCTTCAGAAGGCAATATGAAGCATTGACTAAGATTTATTGTTGTACAGAGCCGATCACAAAGCTACAAGCATACGAAGTGAATAGTAACAGATATGTTAGTGCGCAAGATCGAAGGGATAGGATTTAGGAAGTACAAATTACGCAAGAAAGTGAACGAATCATCGAGTGATTTTAACAACTAACATTTAAGCAATTGAGGGGAATATATATGTAGGCTAACCCAAAATCAAGTATGCATGCTCATATAGATACGATGGAAAACTGACACAAAGACATAGACACATTACTGATCGACGTCTAGTGTGTACTTATATGTCGAGCCTGCATAACCTGTTTTAACGTTTGGACAAACCATTTAATCTGTTCTTATCGAGCCATCATTCACTTATTTTAACCTTGTAGATTATCCTCCTATAAACTTGGTTGCTTTTACTTACGTGCACGTGTGCATTGCTTACTTCGCCTATTAGATATCTTGGTTATTTTTGTATGACTATAAATACTTGGTTATGCCTTATCCACAGAGTTGGATCACTCTCCTTCGTCGCTTTCCTTCAATCTTATTCGCTTCGATTTTACCCTTCTCGTAAATAGTCTGTCTACAAACGCGAAAGTATGACATAAATTCATCCAAATAGAACAGTGTTGAGCTTCTCATTACCGCCATTGCACAGACAGCGTTAGTCAAAATGCAACATGTGGAAATTAGGGGGAACATTTATTTTATAGTGAATTCAATTGTTCGTACAGATTGCAGTCTGTGATTCTAGATCACTGGAAATTTCTCTTAAATAAGTTAACCATACAGATTCAAGACTGTAGGTAATGTGTTATAGATTAACCAGTAAATTATTGCCATTCGCTTGTTTAACCCATATCATGATGTTCACTTGTGGGAAAAAATAGGTTGTTATAAGCTTTCATAAGCTTTTGAAACATATGCTCATTATCTCACCAAAACCTTTTTTCTTCTTACTTACCAGTAGTTTATCAAAACTTAATGACCAATACATTATCGCTTACATGAATGTCACAAAAACTATCATGTTTTACTCTGAATAACCAACAAAGACAACAATTTACTTGATGATTAATTTCCTACTGTGAATGAATTCAAAATGATTCCTTACAAATGCTTGCAGAGGAACATGTTGAAAATCAATCGGTGAAAACAATTTTCACAATCCATTTCTTACGCTGTGACTAATTAAATATTAAAGGACTGTGAGAAAACAAGTCAGAGAGGCTCCATGTAACTACACTATCATAATACAGAATCTATGCATTTTTAACTTCATAACACAGTAATGATTAATTGTCTTAGTTGAATGTTTGTTCAACAAAACGATCATTTTGAATATAGTTAAAATAAATAGGCAAAAATCTTAAAACTACTAATAATAACATAGAAAAGTTGTACTGTAATCAATCAACTTACTGCCTCTTTACTTTTCTGATTAAATTTCTCATGAACAAAATGTCTACCGATCACTAATCCAAATGGACCTTGTACTTCGGTAACGCATGTCTGCCAGCGGTCTGGATCAACTTTTAATCCTGATGACAGATATAAAATATAATTGAAACAATGTTATTAATAAACGTTCTTCTGTTGTTGAAATTTTACTATTCATGCATAAACAGAAGACAATTTTTGTTTGAACCACTAATCTTTGAAGTGAGTGCGGAACGAATTGATAAAGAACTAGAACTTATCGATTTCTATTGAAAACAGCCATGTTAGAAGATTCCAGTACACGATGAGAAATATTTTCAAACATAATAAGAGAGTGAACCAAACAATCTTGTTAGCAAGAGAAAATCAGAGACGAGAGTATCTTGGAAGCCAACGCACACTCATAGAAATAACGTATTATGTCACCTGTTTGTAGACTTTAAGCAAGAGGCGAAAACCAAGATTCAGAACATTTGACTGGTAAAGATATACGTTAAATTATATAACGAAAATCTCCAGAGTAAACGGTGACATACGGAAGTAAATCCATTAAGCAATAGTATTATAGTTACACTGTTAGTTTAAAACTGATGAGTATTTTTATCAATTAGAAATCAAACAGAAATATTTATGTTTTCATGAAAACTAAGAAACCTATTAAGACCGTCTGTGACCTAATAATAATAACAATAATAATAATGGCAATACAATGTATAACGTATCGTGCTCATTAAAAAGTACAAACTGATAGCTAGGTGACAGATACAGTTGTAAATATACGAATAACAAATAGCATAAAAACATAAACTGATCTAGGAAATAGGTCAAAACTAGAAAATGAGGTTATTAAAATACTCGCAAACAAAGGTTACTCAATTAGAAATGTGTGATCAATAAGAACGGTTTACAAAAGCCAAAAAAAATTGGACAAACAGATTAGATCAGTAATATAAAATCAAAGTTGAACATCATTACTTAATTCCAAAAAACTTAACAGCGATAAGAATATTATTGTGGAGGCAAAGAAACCGTGGACTAACTTCTTTTTGAAGAATTCAACTAAGAAGAAATGACTACGATAACCATTCTTGATTCGTGTACTCGCGTCAAACTCAACGCCCTGTGTTCGATTCCCGGTTGCAGGTTACTCACTACTGTGGAGTATCATACTAAGGCGAAACAGCTATCGAATACTTCTAGGTTTACAAATGGTTGCCTAACTTATATCTGTTTTTATCTAAGTTTTATAATCACGCATTCCGAAAATTAGTATTCTTCACAAATGTATTTGTTAAAGAAAATAGTGGACATACAGTTGATATTTCTGTGACTTTGAGGATTATAAATCGATTTTAATGTCATGCAGCCAAATAATTAAAAACACACTTGTAGAAACGCGATAGATAGATAGATCTAATGGTTAGCAATTAAACGGGACCACTAAAAAACAACAAGAAACAGTGTAGACCACTGATCTCAGTGACCTAACTTATACCAACAGAAGTCGTGATCAATCTCTATTTCCTCGGAACTTAGGCAAATTGTAAAGTGGAACCACAGATCATCACTCAAACCTTGATATTTGCCATAGTAGCTACGTTTATTTAACTTGTCATATGTTGTTAGACATTTGTAACCGCAATGCTTTAATTTATATCACTACGTTTTACACATGGGTATGTATGAAATGAATATAATTATAATTTTCCATTATTCTGCCTTGTATAAAGTTTAGTTGAACTGCATCATTCTGTCAAATATTTATTGTTAGTCAGTCTGTTACGCTAGTAAATGACATTTTATGTTGTCATATCCTATCAGGCTTTTTCATTATAAGGACGAAAAACAAATGAATCCTATAAATTAGTAAGTATAACTAATTGACGTTCAAAAAGTCAAACAACACCTTGTATGAATTTTTTCAATAAAAGAACAAATCATTATTGCCTACCTAATTCTGCTTCTCTATATTCTTCCAGCATTTCACTAACTTCTTTTGGCATACGTGGGACTGTTTTCCACATAAAACTCCATACTGCAGCGTTGTGCAATGTTCTAAATCACAAATTAAATATTATATATATAAATTATTAGTGATCATATGTTTATTCAAAATATAAATTGTTTACTCAAATTTTGGTAAACATGCACGATATACTCGTTAGTTGTCTATTTACATAAATATTCAACTCGAGGTCATAAAAACATTCTTTTATGAACTTCAAAGAATGTTCATCTCATTCCATTGAGCACACTTTTTACCAATAGTAACTAAGATACATTCTGCATCGTAGGTTAAAATATTTGAAAGGTCTTTGTAAATTTTAAGGAGCTATATTTTACTGCTGTATTATAGTTTGGCCGCATTTATTTCCTTCACAGCATCTCCATGGAGCTCCGAATTCACCAAGTTACGCATAAACAGTGTGAACTAAATGCCAATGATGAAATTAAGTTTTCAAATACATTAATCACAAAAATCACAACTATTTCTTTTTTTATATTTTAATAATAACTATTGATAAACCTACCGAATACCGACTTCTGTTTTCAAATATTCTTGATATAAAGCACATCGTTCTCTGAAAAATGTACGATCATGTAATGCAATCACTTGTTCTCGGTGTAGAGTATAGTTTAATGGTGCATATATATAATCGAATAATTTTGTCCAATTAAGCTATTAAATAATGAGTAAAAATAGGTGTGAATTTTTAAAAAAAAATCAAATTACAATATTCATTATTTAGCATAAGTGAAGTACTATAACGAATGATCATACTTTTAGGTGTCAACTGATTTCACTAAATGTCTAAGTCAATGTGTGGTGGGTGGAATGACAAAACTGGCCTGGGATAGGTTTTGTTCAAAGATTTACAAATGTTAACATTTTACATTTGGAAATTCTCTGAGGAAAGTTTTTAAAAGATGGATAGAAGCAATGACAAAATAAAATACTTTCAGATAGATCGTTATTATTTAGTAGCCACTGTTCTAACCAGGGATACTACCCCTAACTCAGGTCTCATATGGTCGAAAAATGAAAATTTCGGAAACGCGAAAAAATCATTGCCCGACATGAGACAAAGGGTAATCGGAGTGTTTGGACATATTTGCATCAAGCTGGGCTGCCTCTTCTACTATCCTACGCCATATATGTGTACAACATATGCTATACTGCTATATAGAGCTGAAGGTCTCCTATGAGACTAGAGGTTCTCTGTAAATATTGTGGATGGCTTTGCTTTGCTTTGGCAAGCATTGCTAACAGTCCATGTACAAAATTGGTTAGCAGGGTGACCGATTTCATTGATATAGGTGGTTGTTTTGCGACATTACCGAGGGCCATTGTCATTGGGCTGCTGTATTACATATCATAATAATGAGTTTGACAGTCATGTAAACGGGATGGGTCGAAATGGCCTGTTCATGCGGTGCATACTGATTGTCGCGATCATTGATCAGAAATATATATACCATTGTGTGTATATGAAATGGTATGAATGGTCCACCAGGGTATCAGGTAACTGTGTGGTTGCACCACAGGATTGAGCCAAACTGTTCATGTAGTAATGGTAAAACGTGTCCAGTCTCTTTGGTTCTCCTGAAAACCAATGTAAAATTGACCTTGACAATACAATGTAAATTTATATAATTGTGAATAAACTGGCTGATCCTGCCAGTAGTCATATGCCTGTCTCAGAGATTAAGCCATGCATGTCTAAGTACTGTTCTAACCAATTACCTTCTTGTTGAGTGTTCAAAAACGAACAATTTAAGAAATAGCCTATCACTGTTGTCTTAAACTGTACGAAGCAGTGCGGAGACAACATTGTTGTCGATGTTCATCTGTTCGCTATGTCCATCAGCGTAATTCTTTACTAAACGAACGAGGTTGGACAATTATATCTATTGGTTAATCACATTAACCCCTAACAAAATTCTGTCTTAAAAAGGCATAATTGAGATTATCTGAATACGACATGGTTTCGATGCAATGCTTCACGGAAATTTATGTGACATATTGCAGAAATATCAACGAATATGACAGGAGAGAAACTCCAGGCCATATATATTTAGTTATTTATTCACTAATAAAATGCGCTGAGAAATAACTATTATTTTGCTAAAATGCCCAAATTTTAAAAAATAATTCTCAGGAAGCCATTGACATTAAATGCAAAATAAATATTCCATTAACAGTTACATTTCAAAGGAAAGCGGTATAATAAACCATTTTCCTTTGACTTTGGATAGATAAGATTAAAGAACTAATTAATTGATTCACCCATTATAGACAGAATAACAATAAACAGAATTCAGTGAATGAGAGTTTCTTTTCAACGTTCCCCTGTCTGTCAAACAGCTATCGATGTTAATGTACAGCTTTAATAAATAATTCCATGGAAAAGAACATTTTCTTCGCTAAATCATTTTTAAAGAATTAAATTTAAAATTCCTAGTCCTGCATGTCTGCATAAGCTAAGCATAGCAAAGACTAACTTATACAATAATTAAAACTGACCACTGGACAGATAGAGGACAAATTTTGCAATGTAACCAGTTCGTAGTTCTTCTCCGGGTCTCGTTCACTACGTTCTTCAGTTCTCTGATAAAATAAGTGAATAATTGAAAAAAGAACATGTAGAAAGCTTCAATCAGTTGTAACAATTAATATTTAAGAAATGTTATTAGGTTATACTCAAAACCACTTTTTTCTATTTCTCTATCACCTCTGGATCTTACAGGATAAGTGAAAGTCCTGCGAGGTGCAGGAGTCGTGGATGCGCACTGCTGATGAGTCCCATACCAGGACGAAACGGTCGTACAGTGCTTCCAGGTTTCTAATGGTGGTCTGACACTGATCGATTCATGATTTCAAATGTGTAAAAACCACAAGTCTCCATAACTCTAATTGAGAATATAAATTATTATCAGTATATAATAATCATTATCTTAGAAGCAAGTAGATCAGTATAAATGAATTACTCAAATATTATTTGAATAATAATTTAAATAAACCAAAATTAATCTCTCTTAACAAATAAGAGGGCACTAATATGGATGTGAAGACACAGAGTGACAAAAGCAGGGACAACATTTCCACAAGTGAAGTAAGTTTGTAACTCAAAACAACTATCGAGAAACATCAAAGTCAGAATTTCCAGTACAAACATTTCTACTGTATGGAGCGGAAACTTGTAAAACTACGAAATCCATCATGTAAAAGATGAAAGTGCTTTTCAACAGTTGTTTAAGCAGAATACTGACCAGAAACCATCAGAGAAAATCTACTAAGGGAGAGAATAAACTAGATTCCAGATGAGGAGGAAATCATAAAAACGTGGATAGGACACACAGAGAAGAAAGCACCCAACTGCATCACAAGACAAGTCTTCACTTGAAATCGTTAAAGCCAAAGCGAAAGATGTACACCAAGGAACATAGTGCCACGAGAACTGGAGACAGAAATGAAAAGAATGAACGGCGATTGCGTAGAACTAGAAAGGAAAGCTCAGGACAGTTGGTTGGCGAATTGTGTTCGACGACCAATGCCCGATTTAAGGTAAGTAAGTGATAAAAATTCAAATCTAGTCGAAAAGAGCTCTATTAAATAACATTTTAAAATAGGATTTTACTTAATACAAATTCTCCAAATTATTTTTGAGCATTATCAAAAACAGCATATAAGCGATGTGAATTCTGTCAACATCTACAAGAATAGATAGTTCTTATGGTCTTAACATCAAAATAAGTCGTATTACTGAAGTGTGAGTTAATCGCTGTTTAGAAACTTATTAATGATATATATATTGTTACATATGAACAGTCAGAACTGACTGAATTACATAAATGATAATTTTTTATAAACAGGAAAAATCTCTTCAATCTGATTACAGAATTGTACCACGGAAATATAAATACTGCCTATGAAGAAGTAAACAATTGCGGACTAAAGATAATAACCAATTGCAATTGACGTTTTCTTTACATAAATTAATGAACCGAAATTCAATATATTGGATTATATTTTACTATCCATCAATCAGGTATGTAATCCTTTGTTTTCTAAGCATATATTACAATCACAAAGCCGATCAAGCGTGTTTATACGTGAAACAATAGTTATTTCCTGAAAATTGAGCAGATATCAGGAACTAATGTTAAAAAAGGAAATTCTCTGATAGAAAACAAATTTGCTTTTCTGATGTAAATGATAAAGTACCACAATATTACTTGATTCATATGAGATTAGAATCGAAGTTACTAGTTGATATAGCTATCCTATTGTTTATTAACAAAAGGCTGCGGACATTGTTGAGTTTCATTGAAATCATGGACTGAATAGTGTTAGATCACCACCGAAAATATGGAGGCATCGGTTAGTCGTTTCTTACTAGTGTTGGACCCCACAGACGTGCACATTAACGATCGTGCATCGAGAAATCTAACTCAGAGTCTTCAGTCCCGCGCGCCAGATCCAATGATATTAATATGTAACTTTCATCGATGAACTATAATGTGTGACCATTTTTCAACGTCTTTCGTGGGTAACTACTTCGCACTCACCACAGACTGAACTCCACGGGTCAAGGCTTCTCATCAGAATCCCAGTAATTTTCTATAGAAGCTAGTTAGTTCTACTGGTCTAGAGTTTAGGCATTCTCACGCATGACTGGAGTTCCTGGGTTCGACTCCTGCCTACAGGGTCGGCTCTTGTAACAAAGACAAAAATTGCACAAAGTTAGAGCACAGTGATCGGAGAACACAATGCTGTAAGTATTATGATTTTATTCGGATACCTTGACATTTTGCCTCAACAATAATAATGGACTGACAGAAACTAAGAATTCTGTACATCAATTTTAGGCTCTGTAATACTAGAACTATTGATCAAATAATTTATCCAGTTATGAATACAGTTGGGAGCAGACATTTGAAATCTTGCAAACAATATTTATGAGTGTTATCATTCAAATCGTCTCACCATTTTGATCATCAGGCAAATTAAGAACAAAATAAATGAGTTCAAATACGAATACAAACGGACCATGATGTGTTAGCAAGAACACTTAGATGATGAGACAAAATGTACAATTGTTTTAAGTAGTCGTTCTGAGAAGTATTACGAACTATATCATATGCATTCGCGTGATATTTTGAAAAGAAGTAGTGTACTTATTTATAACTAGTCTTCTCAATTTGTGAGCAAATATTTAGCGATGAAAGAAGTAATTTCTAAAATATTTTTGTTTCTATAAAACATTAAAAATCAGAAGAAATTCATCATCACAAAAAACTAAAATTGAAGAACGTGAGCAATTTTCAAATGGACTAAACATTGATTTTTGTATGAAAAAATGGAAAATTAATACTTAGTCCTAAGAGGTGAATTACTTTTAAACTGAGTAGAATAAGGAGAGTGACAACTAAGTTTCTTTGTTATGAACTAAAACATTTACAGTATATGCGTGCATTCCGAAATGTTAGAAGTAGTTTGTGTATAATTTCAATTTGCATTAATTTAATTCATGTATTTATTCTCTGACGAAGTGGCTTACACTGTGAGTCAATAAATATCAAAAAATGATTAGCTTTTCGACTCATTAGGATACTACACTTATATATTTGTTGGTAATTTATGTCCCTTTACATATTCAGATAATCTAATTGATAAAAACACGAGTGCAGGAATTTCTCATGCACACATGAAAAAGTAAACATTAACAAACATATATTCAATCTTAACACTACATCCTTCATTTGAGCAGTTCCAAGTTTCATGGCTTAAACGAGCACTCTAGACAACGACATTAACAACAATAGTGTATAGTCTGTCATCAACTTGTTATCCACTTGCACTAACAAAATAATAATTAAAAGTTATGAACATTACTAATAATGAAACAATGAATAACTTAAATACACTTACCAATGCAATCTGCTTTTCAAATTCATAAACTTCATCTATTTCATGTAATGAAGAATTGGGCACGCCTACCAATAGGGAATAATTTCGCATAAATCGACGAAATGCTTCAGTTTTCTAGAGTGACATAATTTACACAGAAGAGTTAGTATAAAAATTTTTTATAATTTAAATATCAGTCGAATTCATGACAATGTTATCAATTTGTAATCAAAGTTGATGTGACATTTAAAGTAAATGATAAGTACTTTGTAAACAGCAATGTCATTACTTAATCTTTACAATACATATGACGTTTCACGATGAAAGCCAAGTTCCTTCGGAGGTTACAAGGCCGATGTCCTATCTCACAACCAAAGCAACTATTAATTCATGTACATGGAACGCTTGAAAAATGTTGAAGGCTGTGAGATTCATTCAGGTTTCTGCCAAAATGAAAAGATACAACCTGGAGGTGTTTAGAATCACTGAAAGGCATTGAATACAGGTTGCACAACAAAGACTAACTTCAGGAGAGCTGCTGTTATACTCCGACCATGAAGAAGAAAATGCTGCACCTATACAAGGATTAGAGCTTATGCTATTCAAACAAGCCCAAGAAGCACTGATAGGATGAGAACCTCATGGACCAAGAATCATCAAAGAATCCAACAAAACAAAAAAGGGCGCATTACAATGAACACCTACCAACGATAACAATGAAAATGTTAAAGGTCAAATCTACGAGAGGCTGCAGTCAATCGTTGAGGAAAGGCTCAACAAAGTACTTGACCATTCTGATGGGATACCCGAACGCTAATGTTGGCATGGACAACACTGGATATGAATACATCAGGCGACGACTAGGACTGAGAATAAGTATCCAAAACAGTGAGAGATTTGCGTACTTATATGCCTTCAACAAATTGGTCATCGGCGACACAGTGATCCCACACAAACGCTTACACAAAGCTACATGGATTTCATCCGATCACACTACTCAGAACCAAATCGACCATATCTGTATTAATTAAAATTTCAGAAGGACCATGGAAGACGCGAGAACCAAGAGAATAGTTGATATAGCCTCAGATCGTCACTTGATGGTCGCCAAAATGAAACTGAAACTCAAGAAGCACTGGACAACGGGGAGGACAACTTCACAAAGGTTTAATACAGTCTTCCTTCGGGATACTGGAAAGCTCAACGAATTTGAGATAGTCCTCAGCAATAGGTTCCAGGCTTTTCACGATCTACTCAATGGAGAGGAAACACCCATGAAGAACAGTTGGAAAGATATCACGAAGGCAATCACTCCAACATGTCAGTAGTTTCTGAGCCACAGTGAGTACAATCACAAGGAACGGATCGCAGAAAGGAGGAACAAGAAGGCTGAAATCAATATCGGCCGAACAGGAGCAAAGAAAGACAAGATACAAGGTGAATTTACAGAAGCAAGCAAGCAAATGAAGAGGAGCATCTGAGCGGACAAACGGAAATATGTGGAAGATCTAGCAGTGACAGTGGAAATGGCTGCATTTGAAGAAAACTTGAGACAATTGTATGATAAAACAAATAAACTCGCCGGAAACTATCGTAAACCAGAATGACCAGTGAAACAGGTGGGTAGGTCAATTTAATTAACTCATGAATCAACCAGCCCCGCCGAACTCACCCAACATCTAACCAGCATTCGTGGACCTCCCGATCAATGATGGCCCTCCAACAATTGAAGAGATTAGCATCGCAGTCAAAAAAATCGAGAGCGGTAAAGTAATTGGATCAGACAACATTCCAGCAAAATCACTGGAAGCAGACGTGACAGCAACTGTAAAAATATTTCACATTCTCTTCAACAAGATTTGGGCTGAAGAACAATAACCAGAAGACTGTATGCAATCTCAGCAGGTGTGAGGACTGCAGAGACATCACTCTTCTATTAATACCAAGGAAAGTTTTCAACAGTGTATTGCTAAACAGAATGACGGACTTCGTAGACGCCCAACTTCGAGATCAACTGGCCAGACACCACTAGCAACAATCTACTGTGGGAGAGGACAAACCAGATACCAGCGGAAGAGGAAATAAGAAATAATCTGTGGAGGTGGATGGGATACACATTGAGAAAAGCACCCAACTGCGTCACGAGACAAGCCCTCACTTGGAACTTTCAAAGTTAAAGGAAAAGAGGAAGGTCGAGGAACACATTTCGCCGGCAAATGAAGACAGACAAGAGAACAATGAACAACAGTTGAACAGAACTGGAAAGGAGGCTGAAGACAGAATAGGTTGAATAATACTGGTCGTCAGCCTATGCTCCATTGGGGGTAACAGGCATAAGTAGGTATGTAAGTAAGGTTTATGGCACTTACCATATTTGTCTTATTTTTATCATATTCGTAGTATCAATATTTTATTATATAGAAATAGTATACTGACGAACAGATTCATATATGTTTGGAGAATATTCCGCTAATACGCCAGATAAATTTCTAGGGAAATATTCTTATTCTATCTTTAACACTATAACTGACAGCTATGCTAGTTCTCAGAAGTCAGATCGTTTAGTTATGTCATGGTTTCACGTTTTGGCAGAATCATATATACTGACAGTTTTCCTAATTTCATTCCAATATCAAACACCTTACTAGCGAATCTACGTCTAAGAAAACACAACAGAAAACAATTGTTCTACATTTTAACTAATAAGGCAAAGTCAACTGCAACTGTATCTTTGAACTAAAATGCTTAGTCTACTTAAATAAGACTCCTTTGACCAATCAATACATAATGCACCAGGACGTAACTGACTATCTCGTTCTTTTTAAGTGCCTAATTATAGTCATCCTCAGTAATCTTGGGAACTTGTTTCCCATATGTATTGTTTACTCACATCAAAATATCAAATCGATACTTTTGTTAATGAACTTCGATATTACAATGAATAAAACTGAATAGTTTAACTTCTGTCAAATAAGGAATAATTTCCGAAATGTAATAAGAATTACATCATTCTGGATCATATGAAGCAACTAAAAAAGCACAACATCTGAGAGAACCATTCTCATTTCGATTGTATAATAACACATTCTCAGGAAAGACTAGCTTTCTCCATTTATTAAATTGCTGTGTTAACTGATAAGGAAGCAAATTTTCAATAAATTCATATTCGTAAACTGTTCTACAGGATGTGATCTATTGTATATTCTGTATATCAAGTATAAGATTTGCAACTAAGTACGGAATATTATGAAATATTGTATACGTGATAAAAACTATATATATATATATAAATATATATATAAATATATATATATATATATATATATATATATATATATATTGGAAAACAAAATCAAACCAACCTTTGAGTAAGCTGGATTTGAATCGTTTACATAATATTCTCGTTGTAAACTAACATGTCCTTCTGAAAGCTTGAAAAAATATGACGAATTAACTGTTTATCATACTATAAATATTACATATTACATAGATATATAAATATATATATATATCACAAATCCATGAAGTCACTGAGTCATGTCGCTAGGTGTCGACTACCTGATTGGGGTCCGCGGGATGTTAGTAATCGATGGTTAGAGACCCTAAATGACATGGCTCAATGCCGTTTGCAATGACACAGGTTCATGCATCCTTTGTGTTCTGTCGAATCCTAATCCTCTGGATTCTTCGTCATAATTATCTTTCTCTTCTTAAGTTTATTTCACTAGATTCTATTTATTGAATAATATCTTCGAATTCTCATCTCTCCGATTACTGCTAATGCCTTTACTACCTCTACTTCAGCTTGCTGACCCCTGTACAGAATCGAAATCAATTACTTTTTTAGTTTCACAAATAGTACAATATGCTTCAAAAAATCTAACTTTCATACAATCGAATGTAAGCACCAAACTAACAAATAAACTGGTTTTCCCAAAATTCAGTAATAAGATATTTCTTTTTAATCTTTTCTACTTTCTAGTACATATTTACTGTTCAGACAAAATAATATTTTTCGAAAATATATTAATTACAAATTATGGTTAGATGGTTATGTAACTTAAATGTTGTCTGGATTTTCGGCGACTATGGTTGACGCTGATTTAGAAGCAAACGAGTACCTATTTCAAACATTTTAACAGACATAGATATGAGTTTGTAGAGTTTTATTGCTGAAAAAGTTTTCAGTTGTTTTATGTCCTACTGATTACTTTATATTTATCTATGGCTTCTTTTATATTGAACAATTGACTATTGAGAAATGCGGCAATTTTAATTTTTTACTAAATAGTTTTGTCTGATCTACAAACTACTTAATGAAGCTATAAATAAAAAATGAAAGTTTTTCTTTACATCAAAACATTTTAATATTTAAAGTAACATTACGAAAATTTGGGGATTCAGAACATTTTCGAATTAAGATAACAAAATTCTATTTTGTTCTTGTATAACGAGAATATTACTGGAAACGTGAGTGCGTTTTTGTGACTAACTTCGGTTGACAAGAGAGTCTCTTACAATTTATTGAGTAAGCTAAAATGATATTGGATCAGTGAGAGCCTGAGCAACTTATCATGACAAACTGCTCATGATTTGATAAAATGTAGAGTCAAATAACAGTATAATCTAAGATAATGTACCACAATGTAAATAATTATATGTGTTGGTTTTGGAATTTAACAATGATCTTTTAGCGACATAGAGTGTAGAGCTCCGAAATAAAATGTCTGCTAAACTTTTTCATTCTTCTGGGTTAGCAAAGATGAAAATATACTTTGCAACACGAAGTTCTGCTTTGATGCTCGATGTGAGTTCTGAAATGAATTTGTTACATTATTAAGATACTCATAAAACCAATAACTGACTTAAGACCCGACAAAATTATTCATGAATTCCACTTACATCTATTACAAATCGCGAGGAATTCATTTGATCTTGTCCAACTAGAATACGACATAGTGGTGTTGCGCCTGAATACCGTAACATAGGTAAATACATATCGGTTAGATCAAATTTGTCAGGATGAAAATAGCTGGCATTTTGTTCCCCGGCAGCTTGATTTCCTTTTGGTAATAATATCCAACCGTTAAATAATTTTTTGATATAATTATACAGAGGTGTTAATTTCCGACTTTCAATAACAGATTCATTCATGCATGACTTATAATAAATTTGTGCCAAAGTGAAACCGCGACTGGTGTCTGTATGTGAGCGATTTTCTGCAAAATAAATGAGCAATAATCATCACATCAATCAGAACAATCGTATAAAATAATGTTAACATCAACTGGTCACATTAATTGCCGTTGAAACCACGAAAAGGTCCTCAGAAACTTCACTTATTACAGAAGCTGAGGAATATTATGCACTAGATATTAACAAAACTCAACCGAATATGATTAACGTAATTTAAAAGCAGTAAAAACCAGATCAACGATGACAATGAATATCAGAAAGCAGAACAACAACCCAAAGGTTCTAGCGTTTACTGAGTAAACTACTGATCCCAATGCAAGACGAAATCAGACATAAGAACACTACTGTGAACTAGTTTTTTTGATAAATCAAAGGACTTGACTGCTAAACATAACCCATTTCTTGAATAATTCTCAGTGATACTAGATGACTAAACACAGCATAAATTAACTTATCTCTGAAGGTTTACGCAAATAAGATGAGTTTTAAACTATGTTTGTAGCGGTGATCATACAGGACAAAAGACATTTTCAAGTTATGGTAAATCCGTTGAAAATCTTAGTTGTACAATTTCTTAATAAAGAAAGATTATAAAAGGCCTTTATTTTACTTACCAAGTAATTCTTTGGTAAAGTACTCGCCATTTTTGGATAGTTTACGCATCACAGACCAGGCGTTATGACCTTGTGGTATATAATTCTGTTTGATCCATCCATTGCAGGAATATGCAAAGAAATCATCACAAGGTGATATGCTTGTATCCATATTGCTAAGGATTTCTGAAGCAACTTTTATACATGTAGGTTCTAAACAAGGTTGATCTGTAAATGACAGAAAAAAGTTCCATATTACTTTAGTCTAATAAAATAATTAACTTGAGGGATAACTTTAAATAGACGTACAGTATATCAATGTTTAATTTTAGTTATTTTTCCATATAAGTGACTCACCAGGTACTGCAAACAATGGACGTTTAAATATTAAAATCAATCCGACTATTTAGCTTCAGTGTATTCTGTGTAAGAAACCTCAGAGCAGTCAAAGTTACGAGGACGTATTTCAATTCTTTTATTAATAAATTAATCAAGTAAAGTATGGATGACTCATTAATTAAAAATATTTATACAACTTGATATTTTTCAGATCTGAAAATATGCATTCAAACCATGAACTGTGTGAACTGTTTAATTCTAAGTCAGGAAGATAAATAACTTAATGACATGTACAGTCTGACACGTAAAGGTAACATTAAACAAATAAGAACATGGCGCTAGTCTTATAAGTCAGTGACTATTAATCGTAGTCATTTATGGAGGCGTACATCTCTTGTATCAGTTCTTCGTAATCAAGTTAATCGGTAATTGGATACCGAAACAGGTATATAATTCAAAATTTCCAATAGTAGTATTGTAGATTTATTCATCATTCAATTTTTCCTTAAAATTCACGACAAGATACTTATCGCCTTACTTTATTTCCTCTATTTGTTAAATTATTATGTTCTTACATAAGGATAGTAAAGTAATACAGTAATCATAATAATTCTATTGGCAGTATTAAATACTGTTATTATTATTATTATTATTATCAAGTTGTAAATAACAGATCATAAGCATAAAATCTTTCCTGTATGAATGATGAGAGGCGTCAAAATGTCAACCCTAACTTAATCTGTAATTAGCTCTCTACAAAATACCGAAATTCAAGCAAGAATTTAAGTTGTTAAAGATAAGGCAATACACAATGTGCCATCTGGTTAACAGTTAAAATAACTGAGTTAAAACTAATTAAACTAACATTACACTGCATAAAATGTGACTGATGAAATGTGGACAAAGTGATTTTCTACTTAGCGGAATGAAATTATCATTTCACTTAACTTATGAATAGGCGGCAGTTTTTTTTCTCAGGCAGAGTTTTAAAGGTTTGTGTTTCTAAACACTGCCTGAAAATATCGTAACAGTGCTCACTGGTGACTAGCTTCATGAGGAAATTCTCGGAGTTCTAGTTGAGAAGACGTGACCAATGGAGTTCCACCCGATCGGGTGTAGGCAGTAACTACCAAAGACAAATGAGTGAGGTCGCGAAAAATCCATAGATCAATCATAGTGAGACATTAACACCGCTGGATGCCGGTCCAGTGGTCCATAGGTTCGGCGTTCGCGCACAATGCCGAAAGACCTGGGTTCGAATCCTGCGGAGTGCAGGAGTCGTGGATGCACACTGCCGATTAGTCCTATACCAGTACGAAACGGCCGTCCAGTGCTTACATGTTTCTAACGGTGGTCTAACAATGATTGATTGACGAGTTTTTTTTCGTTGTCCCGTAACAACTACCTTGATCTACATCCTTCTGATAATGTTGTTTAAGTAAATCAACCAAACACAAACGATTACTTCCCTTGAATTTACGAATTCTACTTGAAGATGAGAAACAGCAAGGTGAATAAAATCCCTAATTAAGAAATGGAATAACATGAATTCCAGTACAGCACCGAATGTAATTCTTTTTTACTGTTTCAAATGGTAGACGTTAAACAGAAAGCCCTAACCATGGCATTGTTTTCGATTATATTTGATGATTGAACATAAAATGTAATGCGCTAAAACTTCAAAAAGATCAAGTAATAAAAACTCATATTTTCTACTGTCATCAACACAGCTGAGTCTACATCTAATGCATTTCGTTAGGCATGGAACATTTTTTGAAAATGAAAATTGCGACCATACATTGCTGAGTGAATTACCGTGATCTGCAAGCCTATTCCTTTAGTTTTAGAAAAACAGGCATGGCAAAATATCCGGTTTAAAACTGTCTACTTCATCGAGGTAGCTGCTAGTCACTATAAAGTATCATTGAAATCAATCAGCATAATTGTAATTCGCTGCTCAAAAATTTTAAAATAGGTTCGTTAGAGAGTGGAATTATTGGCTGTTCCTTTTTTTAAAAAAATCGATTTCTGTTTTAAAGAACAAACTTATCTAACCAATAATTTGAAAATGAAAAAAAATTTTCTTATTTCAGTCACACAGAAATATTGACTAGTTCGGTTAATTTTACGACTCTTTGCTGGTATTAATTATGGTCCTGTTAATATTTGGCAATTAGGTGTTTCCAAACAATTTGAAGTCATAAACTGGTTCAGAGATAGTGAAATTAAAATTTTCAATGATTTTTAAGTTACAAATAACTAACATTTTCATTGTATGGCCAGTATAATGATCTAACCAATAGAGTTAATGTTAATCTGTATAACCGATAGTTGAAAAGCACGTTGTCGCATACATTGTTTGCATAATTTATAATTATTTAAAATCATTTTCTTAAAAAATCTCTTTTCTTTAGCATCTACAGCGTTATAATTCATCACCTCGCACGCCGTTAACATTTTATTTAGATATTTAAAATAATTTAATTGCAAATACATTATGAAATGTTTTTCAACTGTTCCATACATTATACGGTTAGATTTCGGAATGTCAAAACTTTTGATGAACAACAGCCTAAGGTTACGTATGTTTGTTATCAACATTACACTCCTTATACAACGTTGTTCATAATAAAAAAACATATTCATTGAGAAACACCTTTGGCTGTCAAAAATAAACGTTTTTGCTGACGAAATATGTTTAAAAGGATTTGACGATTGAAATAGGTGTTTGGGAAAATGGTGTGAAGACAACCACTGTTGACACGTGATGTACATAAAAAAATAATATCCAGGGTTGTTTAAGTAATAAAATATATTTCGTAATTTTTTCTCACTGAATTATACTTCTCGAATCATATCTTCGCTCCGTAATCTTCTCCATTACTGCTAAAACTTCTATTATCGCTATTACTCCTGGATTTGAAATGACAGTACCGTCTCTGTGCTGACGTGGTATGGCAACCTGAACTAATGTACTTACATACGAGGTTTTGCGTTGTATCTGTCTATCTGTCTGTCTCGTATGCATAGAAAAATAATGACTTCATAATACCATAATTTAACATTTAAAACATAGTTTGATTTAAACAATAAATCTAACACCAGTATCTGTCAGTCTATGCTTTGATGTTGACAGACAGAGAATAATGGAAGTGAGATAAATTGCTTATCAAAGAAACCATAAAAAATAAATAGGAAAGCATTTACAAATGTTGTATTCAATATTTGAAGAAATATAAAAAGAATAAAACTGTGTCTGGGTAAAGTAGGCATATTTGATAGTCTCTAGTTTGAAGTATGACGTATATATCTAGCGTATGCATCAAAACAAAGTCATTGAATTCAGCATGTCAGTGCATTGTTACCTCTCTAAACGTAAACTTGTCACAACAAAGCACAATAAACATGAAGATTGGTACTGTCGAAAGTATAATGATACTTTCAAAAGCTGTCCCATGATCATGATCTTGCTTAGTATTTCTCTAAAAATGCACCTCGTTGATTCAGTTATTGTAATATAATTTTCTTTTACACTGCTTAAAAAATTGTTAAGACTTTTTTTTTCAAATCAGTCGATTACAATGAAAATAGATTTGATAAATAAGGACTCTGACGAATTTCTCATCATAAAAATCATAAAAGAACTACAGTTAACGCTTATAATACTCATATTAAATTCATATTAATCTCAACTTAAAGTCAGTACGAATTAGACCGGTCATAGTTTGTAACAATGTGATTGTGAATCATTTAATGAACACTAGTGATAACGAATTATTGTTAAATAAACCAATATAAAGTCAGCATGTTTTACTGCATCACTTCACTGTGACTATGAAATCAGGATATAATAGTCATAAAATCACTGTATCAATAATGATTTAAATAGTTTTAATGGCTTTGTTTATTTATCTATAAAAATTTGGTGGAGAAAATTTATAGTTCGGTTGGATGATTGTTTCTTTGTGCTGGGCGTTTTAGATGTGGAGCTTTGATTATTCTTCTGAACAGTAACAGATAGAAGTCTATTTGAATTTTCTGCTGATGATGTTGTTCGGAAGAGCAACATCAAAGCTCCACAACCAAATTAACCAGCTCAAAGAACGAAACACCACCACAGAAAATTATATGATAACTGAATCATCTTGGATACTCTTCCTCCTAAAATGCTATTTTAACCAAAGGATTTTTCTAAACTTGTACATAATTCCTTAGAAATTTTAAACAATTTATGGTGTGTTTTGTGTTGTTAACCTTAAGTCAGTAATTCATTTTCAGAGTCTTCCCGATATATTCTGTGCATCCATTTCAAGCGTTTCACTGAAAAACAGATTTGATTAGGCAAAACACTGAGTTATTATTTAATCTAATCTAATCAATATATTTCATCAATTCAACTAATGCGACCAGCTGCTGGCAACAATCCACAAAATAAAATGATATAATGCAATTATAACTTTTTCGTCCATTATTCAACTTCAGTAACTAAATAGATCTATAATTAAAGTGTAAAAAGTATACACAAAACATAACCATCTTCATCTGACATGCATTACTCAGTTTATCAAGCAATATACAATTATTCAGTCTGTTGGTTTATTGAAATAGATTTAAATTAGAAATTATCCTTACCAAAAAAAACAAGGATATCGCTCGAAAACTAACTTTTACAATTTGAAAAAATTGATCAGCTATTTTACAGGCATAAAAATTTCTTCCAATTAATACGAGTCTAAAATAAAATTTATCTACAAAAAGCAATAATGATATTTTCATCAAATATGAAATATAATGGACAGCTACAACAAAATTTATAGTTTACAATTTCAATGAGCTATTTTCTTGGAAAAATAAAATCACCAGCAGTAATTCTATTATTTATTTTGTCA